ATCCTTCATTTTACTATTCATTCCATTTCACCATTACAATCATTCTCTCCACCCTTTCCAAAACCCGAAAAATACACACACATTTATTTAGATTTATATAATTTTTTAATGGTACAACCTGGAAGCAGGTAGAATCATTTGATGACAGTCTACCCCTGAAATTATGAAATTCTTCCTAGTGGGAACTGCCCCCGATTGAGAACTCCTGTCCTACATTATGCATTTCCAGGTTATAGCAGAATGCTGTTTTCACATGTTCTTAAGTGACTGTAATGAGTTAATAAGAATATTTAAATACAGTGACATCAAATGGAATTCAGAAACAAACACATGCTATAATTTCTCAAAACATTTTTCACATTAACTTTTATTAAATAGACATTATGTTAACTTAATTAACATTACTGCATATTCAGATGATTTAAAGTGAAATAAAATATAGTGGAAATCCATGTGCCATCTAAAAATGAAACATTTACAAGTTTTAACTTTATAACACTTTTTGTATACTGCATACTGTTTCTGTACAAATATCAAAATATAAATAAAAAACCAGGCACCATATTCTGTATACAGAAATTTATATATATAAACACTTACAACTATTTCAAAAGTTGGAGTAACAAAATATACAACAGATGTGGGTCAGTTAATGTTTATAATAAAAAATGCATATGAAAATGAATGCTTTGGAAACCATTATATCATATGCAATTTGGAAGAGACATTTCTCGCCCTCTACACAGAAAAAGAAATTGCATATAATTCTGCTGACTAGTTCTGACACTAAATTCTTTCAGATCTTTTATAAATATTTCATTTTAAAAGAATCTCCTTCAGTAGCAAACATCATATTTTATATTTATACACAAACTAATGGTAGAAAGTATCAATTCATATAAAATTCAGATACATATAAAACGAAAACCTAAATACATAAAATTTACACAGAATATTTAAGTGATAGTAAAATAAAATTCAGTTCAACAAGCATAACTTATTCAAAATCTAATATACCAGCTGAAAATGCAGTTTAATAGAAAAATCAACAATAATTCAAATTAATTTTTTATGTTCGTCAGAAAAAAAATTTCGCTACAAACAAACTATGTTTATATAATTTTAGGAAACTATAGAAATTAACATGCTGTAAGTTACTATCAAATTTAGGCCAAATATGAGAACACTATTGTAATGAAATATAATGTAATTTAAAATTTAAAAAAGTTACTTCCAGATTTATACGTTAATAAATATGAGTCGCATTCACATTATATTATAAAAAACTATTTTAAAATTATGAAAAGCAAATAAATTACACAGAAAAGAAATAAATAGTTTATATCTTTAGCATTTAAGAAGTTTACCATGACACAAATATATAAGAAAAAAGTAAAAATTCTATATTCAAAGAACTAAAACGTTTTTTAACATATACTGAATAATATCACATGCATAGAAGTGATAAACTACTTTTTTAATTACAAGATGTGCTAATTAATTTGTTCAACCCCAAGACTTTAATACTTCTACATAAATGAAAAACAAGAAGAATATAAGCCACAACGAAATATTGAAAAATCCTCAAAGCAAGTTATACAAAGTATTAAATGCTACACGAGCATAACATATCTTAATTTAAAGTTTACAAACTACATTATTCGAAGTATTTCTTTATAAATCAGTACATATTTAAAAAAAAAAATAAATAATAATAATAATAATAATAAAAAAAAAAAAAAAAAAAAAAACACACACACTTCACATTTGGAAATGAAACAATAATGTAAAAAGAATGAGGTAGATATAATTTTTAGTAGCTGGGTGTATGATAAATATTATAATCCTCAACATTATGTAAATTAAATTGGGGGAAAAGGTAATGTTTAGGAATTTATTTAGGTGAAAGTAGAGAAATGACCAAGCAATTGAACTTTCTAAATCTCAGTTGTTAATTATTTAAAAATACACAATGCTTTTTGAACCTTCATTAACTTGGAAATTTTATCCAGAGGTTTTCAACTAAATATTCTATCTACTAATTCAGAAGTCAAACAACAAAAATCAGCGTTATATTTACCAAATTTTCACAGGACTAGTTTCGATGGTTTCACCGAACCACCATCTTCAGCTGCAAAACCGCAAATGAACCAGATAGGAAATAATGATTAGATAAGATAAGAAAGCCTGGACAAGAATAAGCAAGTGGCGCCATCTGTTGGTGAAACCAGAACTAAAACATAATTTCTTTAAAGGCCGAAGGCAAATTTGGATTGGAATTAGGATCGTTAACTAGAACAGAAAGATTTTTATGAATGTGAAATGCCTCTAGAAAATCCAGTTCTCCAATGGAAGATGTTTTATCTTTCTGTTCCAATGGAAGATGTTATCTTTCTGTTAAATCTTTCTGTTCTAGTTAACGATCCTAATTCCAATCCAAATTTGCCTTCGGCCTTTAAAGAAATTATGTTTTAGTTCTGGTTTCACCAACAGGTGGCGCCACTTGCTTATTCTTGTCCAGGCTTTCTTATCTTATCTAATCATTATTTCCTATCTGGTTCATTTGCGGTTTTGCAGCTGAAGATGGTGGTTCGGTGAAACCATCGAAACTAGTCCTGTGAAAATTTGGTAAATATAACGCTAATTTTTGTTGTTTGACTTCTGAATTAGTATTTATTCGGCGTGTTATTGTGTCTTAAATATTCTATCTATTTACTGATGCTTAATACAAATTTAGAATACGAAATACAATATTATAATGCACGGTGTGCGATTTACAGAGAACTATAAATCAAACAGAATCTGATTTATTAAGAATTTTGCAAGTGCATTTTATACCCCACAGTTACAAATACCTAGATACATAAGGTAATCCAATGATCCTTAGAGAATGTTCTCAAATTTCACATACTCAAACTTTGAATAAAAGCACAGTTAGAACAATTCTATAATGAAACAATTTCAATGGCCATATTATATATTGCTATTCCAATACTACAATAATCTTGAGAATATATTTTGGGAGCAAATAAAAAATTTGCCAAATTGATGCTTTAAAAATACCATTATTCTGAATTTTATTATTTTCTTATTAACACTTCATTTATATTACGCTTCATTATTTTTCAAATTCAATATATATATACTTTTAATCCCAAAGTAAAATGCTGATGAATATGGAGATTTTACTATATTTGCTTGTAATTTTAATAGATATAAGTAAAATTTTCGTGATAACTATAAACCATAAATGGAAAACTAATACTTTCATATTCTTTATTGGAAATTATTTACAGTGTACAACACTGTAAATTTCAAGAAAAAATTAGTTATTATAAATAAATACTTAAAAGTATGAAGTGACCTTGCATAGGAAAATTAGAACTATATTGAAAAGAAACATTCACACCAGAAAAATATACATATTTAATTTAAAATTGTGCTCCAAATATTGTGCAATATATTCAGTATATTGAGAATTATGAAAAACTGACCCAAATCCTTTTTTCTTGCACACAGAAAGGCACAGAGCAGTTGGTATTATTGTACAATAGTAATAAAGTTACAGATAACAATGTTACATACCTAATAATGTACATTACCTTGCTACTATTAAGTGGTTATTTATGAATAGTAATATATTTTCTAAGATTTAATACATTAAAAGAACACAGGGAAGCTAGGCTAAAGCAATACTATAGCTAATACAAAAAACTATTATTTTATCACTTTAAGAAATGGTTTCCAGATTCACTATACATGCTGAAGTGCATCAAAAAGGATTTAAAAAAATCTGAATACAGGAAAAAGTGAATCACATAAAAAAACATCAGATGAATCACTAATATATAAACTAATGGAAGGAAGATATATATTTGTAAAGTACAAAACTACAATCAAGTATGACATTGAAGGTAGAAATTATGAAGCATAAACTCGGAAGTATACTATAAAAGTTGTCCTGAAAGCAAACAAATAAAATATATTTTTATAGTTATCAAAAGTATTTCATGCATAAATATTTACAGCATTCGTCACTAAATATAGGAATTAACTTATCAACAAGAGATGAAATTTAAGGCTGTTGAATAATTTCATTTATTGCCAATATCAGATTAATGCACTTTTAAGTACAATTGCAATACACATTAACAAAAACAATCTATACTTATTTCAAAGAAAACAAAAAATAGCTTCTATATTTATAAGACTAGCATAGGAAGCTATAAAATATATACTTTTTTTTTTCATAAATAAACATCCAAATGTTTATAAAAACCAAACATATATAACATAAAAAATGTTGCCTCACATGCTTGTATTTTATGTAGCATGCTGCCAATTTTTAACACATTCTAATACAAAAATACATATATAATTACATTTACAGTTTGACAATTTTAAAAATATTATATAAAAATGTATGAGACTGCAAATGATACAGGAATGGGAAATCTTTGAGCCAAACTAATCTCTAATGGAAAGAATTTCTCCCAGTATTAATTAGCAAATAAAAAATAGAAATTAGCAAATAGTAACTAATAGAAATTAGCAAATAAAAAAGATGAAGGCTTTGAAAAATAACAAAACTCATCATAAACATATTACTCTTTTTGGGATAGATAATGAATATTTATTTTACATGAATAATTATACAAAAAGGTTTTGTTGAGAATGCATAAATTGTTCTAAAGTTTATTTTATTACAAACAAACACTGTTTTTAATATATGAGGCAGTGATAATAAGCAAAATTAACATTGCAAGATGATTTAATAAAAATAATATGATTTTAATGTATGGAAAAAGATTCACAAGTATAAAATAATATCCTATCATCTTATGGTGTCCATATGTAAACATTTCTCCCTTTTTCTTCATATTTGTAATTTGAACAAACTATGCAATTTTAATTACAAACTAAATAACAAAAACAGAAACACTGCAAATGTAAACAAAAATATTTTATTTGATATTTTGACTTTAAATACAAAAATGAAAATGAAAACCTAAATTCAAGAACATTATAAATTAAATATTTAATTATTGAAGCAATAAATAAGAGGTTGATATAAAAGAAAATTCTTTAAAAATTGCTTTTCTTATATACATTTCAAAAATACATAGAAGCCTAGGACAATACAAATAGACATTGAAAATTAGAAATGATGCAATGAACAGGACCAAAAACAACATATTTTGGTATATTTTGAGAGAGCAACCATTTTTCTTTACAATAAATGTGTTCTTATGAATTGATGTAACAAATATTTTGTCATAAATTAAGTTTAACAGAAAATATAAAATTTCAATCAAATTACATTTTTGCAATTACTACATTTAAATATTTCTAAAGAAAATTAGGATGACTTCTCCATAATGGGCCATATAAATTTGGCATCACAGCGCTTGTATGTAAACAAACAGTTGGAACCAGCTGCCATAAGGTCAGCTTTTATCACTTGTGGGCATTCACTGTCACCAAGCATTGTTTCTGAAAGATATTATTGTTATAAAAGATTAATATATTAAATATTCAATTTTAAAACATCTACATAGCATTATGAAATTTATTTATCAAATATTAATGGCATCAAGTCACATTTTAAATTTGAACAAACAGTGATTATTTGTTAATTTTAGGAAAGAAGCATTTAATGGTACATGTGAAACTGTTTTTGTGATACATATGAACACCTAATATACATCATTAAGATTTTATAAATATGACAAAAGTATTATTATTATTATGATATAATCAAGTAGGGAAGTAAAATTTGCAAATTTTCATGTTTAAAAATACTCCAGACTTTTAGATTAATTTTAAGTACAATAATCCTACTGAAATAAAATTATTAACAGCAAAACAAAATTACCTTCTCCATCAACAAGCTTAAAGAGGCAATAATCCTGAGGGTTTGTGACATTGAATTTATGAGCAATGAGTTTTGCTAGAAAAAAGAAACAAAATTAAACATATACTGGCATTCAATTCAAATTGTTGCTGTTGTGCACTTGAATACAAAAAGCAAAATGCATAAATACTTAGAAATAGTTTTTGGACATCAAATGCTCATTAAGGTTTACTCAAAATGACAAAATGGGTACTAATATGGATTAAAAACTAAAACTATTACTTAACTGATAATATGCATTTAAAGTGTACAAGAAAACATATTAATTATTTTAATATGAACTTCTGCCATTCATTACACAAATTATTATGTTTTTGAGTTGTACTGTTTGGTAAGAAATTAGTTTATGTAAGTACAATTAAAACTGAAACTACTGATGTTTGAACAAATATGTTCCATTCACAATGAGCCTTTAGATACACATATCAAAAGGTTGTCTTCGTTATGATTCAAAAGGAGAAATTTCTTAAGACATTTCGAATAATTAAACTAAGTGTTGCTTTTTGTATCAAGTTTATTTTGAGATATTTATTATAAATATTTATAAATACTTTGACTTAAATTTTCCAGTTAGTACCTATTCTAGACTAGCAGTTCTCAGCTTTTCTCTTTCGTGTACTGCTTAATGAGACATTCTGCAATAAAGAGTACTTCTAACTTTCCCCTTTCAGGACAATGATTTCCTCCCTTACAGTACTCCTTAACCAGATAAATATAACAAAAACAAAGAACTGATTGATACATTATTTATTTCAAATAAGCACAGTGATAACATACATTTTAAATCAAAGTGTAATATTATTAATGTACCATAATTATTTTGAATATCTTTTTTTTTTTTAAAACAGAAATGAAAAAATGAATGAATTGAAGAATTTATTGATTATTGAAAAGATATAAGCTTATACCCCAAGTATTATTGTATATTCGTATTTTTCCAAGTGTTGTACCATAGTAAAATGCTAAATTTATAATTATTTTAAAGCGACTTAATAAATAACTTTGCAGATGCTAAATTTAAAGCAAAAATTAAGATTTGATTGTAAAAACTTCAGTACACTGGTGTTCTCATCCACATGTACAGAAAAATAAATAGACTGTATCTTACTCTCATTTATTATCATTCAAAAGTCATCCCTGGTTTCTACATGAAATTGTATTGTTTGATAAAAGGATGTTGTTAATATTTCGAACATGTGTTTCTCTAAACATGCAACGAATAGCATCACATTTTAAACAAATGTATGCTTTTTACGTGATTTTTATGTGATATGATGCCCTACTTTGTAGGATGCTTCAACCGCATTTTCATCATTTGTGTTAACCGATAGATAATAAATAAGATTTTAAATCAAGAATTTTTGACAGTTTAGAAAAAGCTTATTAATTTTTGTCTGTAAATGTGATGATTCGTTTCTAAATGATGCAACAGTAATGAAAGTTTAATACTTCCTTTGATAAAACTTAAGATATGAATTACACTAAGAGGATTGGGACTGTCCTGGTCCCATGTGAATGAAAATCCATTTATCAGAATATTTTCTTTCCTTCAATGAAGGACTGTTGCTTGGAATTTTCTTATTACAATCAAAAGTCTTTAATCCGGACTCGTAGGAACTTCGTCGATTCTCGATTATCGATTTTTCCGGATTATAGATCATCAGTTTAAATCTGGTAAGATGGCATGCAGAAATTATAAAATTAAAAATATGAAACCGTAATTTATGAAATAAAGAACAATTATGATCTAAAGGGTATCAAAATTTACAAAAAAAAAAAAAAAAAAAAAAAAAAAAAAAAAAAAAGCTTGATATTTATTTGTTTACTTTATTAAACATTTCTTTCAATGTAAGTTGTTTAAATTGCTTCGTTTTATGTGATAATACTTTCTCTTTAATTCTATAAACAGACATAATTTCTTGTTCAGTTACAAAGTTCCGCTGTTCAAGTCCTATAATTGCTGTGTCGAGAATACCGACTAATTTGTCAAACGAAATTTTTTCGTTTTCAATAACCTCTGCGTCACTTTCTTCACTATCGGAAGCAAATTATGATGATGAGGAATTTGATTTAAATCATATCAAAGACGGAGTACATCGAGATGAAATACTACATTTAGTAAGGAATTATAAACCAAATAAAATAAAAACATCTGCCCTGAACATAAGGATAATGCCCTGAACATAAAATAAAAACATCTGCCTTGAACATAAGGATAATGCTGACAGATCAATTTCCAATTCATTGCGCATCGCGACGTTCCCTACTCCCCGGCAGAGCAGCGTGAAACTGACAGACAGATTTCGGAATGATTAGAGAAACAAAGGATATGCCTTTATCCATTTTTTGTAGCAATTTCACTTTTTGTTTGTGGACATCGAAACATACTTTTGTTTTGTAGATCCTTTGGCAGCTCCAGCATTGGAAATTCTATTTGACATAATCGAAAGTTGAAGCTTACTTTTATAAAATTGCTCCAACAATCTGCAAAAAATAATAAGCCGGATCCAATTAGAAGATTAAGGAACAACGCTATCTGCAACATTAACTGAAATAGATCATTACATAATTTTAGCTTAGCTTATACCATCCGTTATACATTAAACATGCATGCGTAAACGTATTATGCGCATGCGCAGAAAGTTTGTAGCTTTGAGGTCCGGATTATAGATCATTTCGGATTATGGGTGTCCGGATTAACGACTTTTGACTGTACTAGTTAACTTTCTCTTACCAAAGATAGGCTCATTACAGTCCAGCAGGTCTTTGCTGGACTGGAATGAGCCTATCTTTGGTAAGAGAAAGCCTATCTTTGATGCAAGTGTTTAATGAGAGCTATTATCCACAGTAATTTCAGTTCTATGCCAAAACCTATTTTTTAACCGTTTCATTTAAATAAATTTTACATTTAGCAACTCTAAAAGAACAAAAACTAATGTAAAATCAAACTCCCCATTCTGACAAATTTAATTGTAATAAAACTGTAAAGAAATCTAGCTACATAACTCATTTGGTGATTCACTCAATGTTAAAAATATTATTGACTGCCTATTACTTCACATCATTCACTAAGTCAAAGCTGAAAAGGAGATGGGTACATATGACAAGTAAGGAATTAAGTATTTTGTACACTTTTTGATCAATGACAGTTAATAAGTTTGTGAAAATTTTTTTTAATCATTTTTTTATAATACTTTTTTGTTTTCTGCTGTTCATTTTTTCCTGTACACCTGAATAAACCATCGCATAATCCTGGAGGTACATATACCACAGGTTCGGATCTGCTGTTCTAGACCATTAAATATGAATCACATGACAAAGCGAAATATGTTTTACCTCCAGTCAGAAAAATTATGATATGCCTCAATTTTTTAATACTGCACCCTTTTGTTAGAGCAATTAATTTAATAATTCAAAATAGCAATTATTGCAATTAAATTACAATTTAGATTTCAGTTAATACTGTTTAAATAGAATTAAGTAACAAATGTTTATCTCTGGCTTCTTTGCAACTGGCACAATTGAAAATAAATGTAAGAGGTATTTATTTTAGCTTGAACGACCCCTAAAAAACAATATCAGGATTTTAACACTTGAATGAATATTTTTAATGATTTGTTAAGAACATAAAATTCCAATTAATATATTTTATAACTTTGTTTTTCCACAGTTTTGCACTTAAAAAGATGACATGAAGAACTGCAAACATATGTTAAATTTTGAACTTGCATAGAGTTATACATATTACACACAGTATGAAAACATTTCTGAACATTTGTGCTTAGACAGAAAGAAATTAGTTTAGAATAAATATATCAATGTTTTAAAATTTTACATTTATAAATTTTTCAATTATAAACAAAGACGATGATAACTCACACATCTAAAATGAAGACAGATTTTCAATATTTTTCATGATTTTCTCCTCATACATAACATAGCATGTATATATATATATATATATATATATAAAAGAGAGAAGCAAAATATGAAAATACATACCAACTTCTTTAGTTGTCATGTTTGGTTTAATAGGAAGAGTTTTGGATATAATACTGCCAGTGAGTTCATCTGGAATCATTATTTTCAGAAAACCCTGTAAATCTGCAATACAGGCTAATCTTGGTTCAGGGGAAGGCTGAAGAATTAAAATATTGTTTTGCTTCAAAATCGATAAATACAGAGCAATTTATTTACAATGAAATAATTTTCAAATTTAAAATATTTAATTATGGCAGGAAATGGGGAAAATGCAATCATATAATTTTTATGTCCTTCAATTGTGTAAGATTCCACCTCAAATAAGAATCATAAGATTTATCAGTTTCTAAAGAACACTTCTTGCAAATATATTTTTTTTTAAATCTAGCTTAATTTTGAGTCTTCAGTGTTCCTATGTACATTTTACATCCAATTGTATTACATCATTCTTTAAAAATTCATCACTCATTGATGCCCAAAAATCACTGCAAAGGATCCAGTCCTACAATCCTACTTTCTGGAACTGTTACAAATGTCTTCAGAAATAAAAATGAATGGAATACTTCTGTGACAATCAGTTTTATTTTTTCACATAACCTTCATCTACATTGGGACTCTTAGCCCATCTGCTTATGAATATCCCAATATCTGCTGCATTGCAGTCTTTGCTGAAGCTACAAAAGCTGGTGATAAAGTTGTCACCTGAATTTTAACACTTATGTACCACATATGCCCCATAGGATATAGTATATGGTAGTCCCATAAGTCCTGGTAACAGAATAAAATGCTGTGTCTCACAGTAGGTCTGGACTGTTTCAGTGAAGTGAACCCTCGTGACATGCTTTCAGTTATCAATGACTCAGTCAGTTAGCACTGCTCATTAACTCAGTACAGATATGATTGTGTTATTACCTAGGTGACACCTTTTGAAACTACTTATGGCTATGTCCTATTATTCCACAGCAGCTTGTAACCTATTTACTGACTTTACCTCACACATGATTTTAGCTTTCCTATAATAAAAAGCTTGGGAATAGTAAAGCCATTAATTCCCCAAAACACATATATTGCTAAAAATTTAAAGCCTAATAAAGAACATATTAAAAAATATATTTAAAGTGTACCCTCTATATTAAATGGTGGTATCAGAAATGATAACAGACCAAATCATTTTTAACTTTGAAAATGCCATGCCAAAAACGATACCACAGATTTTAAAAAGTTTTGAATGTCAATGAGATTTTTTTGTCATCAATACTAATAATGATGAGGATAATATGAAAAGTATTAATTAAGTGTAAATCCAGAAAAATGAAGAAACTTAAAAAATATAGAATATCACACTCGATTTCAAACAGCTGGCAAATTGGTATTCTAAATGTAAAACAGAGAGTTCCAAAAAGAGGACGTTGCAGCAACCTATTGCAGTGCTGAAATAACTAGAAAATGTTTTATTCATTATCACTGGCTGCTTTCAATACCAAGACAATTTTGAACTTGATGCTGGTGTATTGAATTATAGCAAAGCACACGAGGGCTATCTGCCTAAGGGGAGGGATGCCTTCGTGGAGGACTTTTTAAGGGAGACTGGCTCGTATACACGTTACACATGGGGAAAACCACGAAAACGCCCATGCAGCCAGCCCCCCCTTTTTTTTTTTGGAACTTGAGATGTGATTTTCATTTTTTAACATCTAATTTCAACAGTATCTATATAGTATAATTAAGATATTTCATATAAAAAGATCAAATTAAAAGATGTTATAAAAGTCTATTGAGAGAGTGATAGATGCCATTTTCCTAAAACATCAAATAAGGAAAAAAACAAAACATCCAAATATCATACAACCTTTGTCTAAACAATACAAAATTTTGTATTGTTATAATTGATCAAAATAATACTATTCAGTATTTAATTTTTTTAAAAAAATGAGTATTATGTATGTAGGTATTAAATTAAATTTTTTTTGTATTCTAAAGCACTTACAAAATAATAACATGTTTGAAAAGCAAAACAAATCATTCAGTTCTCATTTTTTAAAACAAATCGCTCAGTTCTATTTCATATGATCTTACTCAAATTTAATCAGTATTAAAAAGTTGTATGTTCTCCTTGTCTCACTTCAGTAACTTCTCAAATAATTTTGTCACCTTCTTAAAAACTATATTTAAAAATAATTTTTAAAGATGTTAGCCATTTTTTGTTCACTAGACTATGTTTTGCCAGCAAATTCGATTAACAACTGACTTATATATAATATGTTACATCCATTTAGTAAAGATTTTGCACAAACTGACTGGTTTATCATCGTACATTATATTTTTATTTCATTTTTTTAAAACTCAAATTTTTAGTGCTATCAAATCTTGATGTAAAATCTTTTTGCAAAAATGCTACAAAATTTTAATAAAATATATATGCATGGGATTCTTTTTTATTTGCCTCTTCTTCTAAAAGAATTAATAATTGCATATATAGATTTAAAAAATCTTACCGTTTTACAGCTGAGCTGAGATTTTGGACTACCAATGTCTGCACTATATCCCCGACCACTACAACCAGCTAAATTATCAAAGGATTCTACACTATGTTGTGGTGACTCTGGACTGCAAGCTTGTAAACTTTTCAGAACATGGACTGCACTGCTTAGAGTCGTTAAATAATACCTAATAATAATTTTGCAGTATAAGAATTAAACACAAAAAGCTACTGTTTTTCATATTTGCTTACAATGATTAGATTTTATTACATAAATAAAAAAAAATAAAATTTTATCTTCCATCACTTACTGTAAATTTTTCAAGTAACTTAAAATAATAGATAGTACTGTAACTTCAATTTTAATTATTGGTTGGGAAAATATTTTAGGAAGCAGTTCTTACACAAGATACTATATTTTATTTAAATCTTTATTATTCATATATGTCACTGTATAAAAAGTGATGAGTTATATAAATCTTTTATTTATTTCTTCAATTATGAGTTAAATAAATTTTAAATAACTTTACCCTCCTTCTCGAGCCATGAGCGATGGATGTAATAGACCCCACATATAATCAGCTTCAATTTCTGCTGCTATGAGACCACAACGTACAAGCACACAGATGAATATAGGAAGAAAGTCTGGGAGAGAAAAAAAAAATAAACATAAATTATAAAAAATCTGATGTGTACACCACATGACTTCCTTGTATTGGAATATTAAATTATACACATTTTTTCTTGCATTTCATTTAAACTTATTGGATTGAATTAAATCTACTTCGCCGACAGCGCATAAACCACAATAGAATAAATGCATTCTTTAAAATTCACTCTAGTATTTTTGTTTACCATAGCGACACTCTGGCGCTAGATTCACTTAACAGTATTAATAATTATAACATTAACTTATATAATAATTATATAACGAAACTAAGTTAACTGTTGTATAATCCAATAATTATATAACAGTTAACTTATATATTTTGTTCATATTATAACTCATAATGCACAAAATTTGTATCATTTAAAGAATATAATTATCTAATTGTTGCCACATGTTCTATTGAAATTCTATTCTATAAAGCTAGAATGATGTATAAAAGAAATTAAGCAAACAAAACAAAAAAGAAACAGTTTTTCACAGACGATTGAGTATTTCTCATTTAATTAATTCAATTCTCACTTCGCCAGAAGGCAAAAATACATAAAAACTCAAAATATCTATATTAAAAATTACGAAGTAAATCTTAAACACTTATTTCCTCGAAAAAATTCCAGAAAGACTTAAGCATGATTTAATTGGCAATAATAAATGAATGCGTTATCTTTGTTGTTGGGAAGCTAACTTTCTATAGATTGGCAACAAATCCACCAGTCTCCTGTTTCAAATGTAAACACCAATGGCCGCCATTAAAAAAGGCTTAGCGGCACTTAGACAACTTTAAAATTGTTGATAATTCCAAAAATATTGCATACAGATTTACTAAAGGCATAAAAACCTTGACCGGAAGATAAAAGCAACATAGTACAATCATTTTTAAAGCAAAAAATGTACAATTTACAAACATATAAGAGTAAAGAAACTGAGATCACTGAGCCGGGTAACAGAGTGGATATATATATATAAATATATTTATATACGTTTGGTGCGTCCGATTGCAACCAAAATACGAGATGCACATCTACATGTTATAGCAATCCTATATACAAAATTTCAACGTTCTGAGGTTACTCGTTTTTGAGTTATGCAAGATACTCATGTACGTACATACGTTCGTACAGACGCCACGAAAAATTCTCTTCAGAATTAATTTTAAAGCAGTTTTATAATTTTTTTTTTTTTGAAGGAAAAGAGTATTTTATTCTGCCCTTACGTACAGATATCACGCAAAAACGTCGTTAAATTGCATTCGATAGCGGTCAAAATGGATATTTTCGTTGAAATATGCTGCCTGAAGCTTTTTGCGATTACAATACTTCCTTTTTACTTTGTACAAGGAAGTAAAAACAGTAATTTATTCAACAATTTTTCCAAAACTAGGTATACTGACCTTTTAATACTTTTTAGTTACAATCAGATATGTGTTGCCCAACTGATTATAAGATATGTATATTTTTAAAATACTGTACATTAATTGAAAAATTTCCTTTAAAGCTCAATGGAGAAGCAAGATTAACATTAAAGGTTGTGGTGAACAATCAAAATTCTAAAAAAGGGCTTGCACCTTTATCTTAGAAAAACAAAATATCAAATTCCAATTTATATACTAAAAAAGAAAATACAAATAATTATGCTGGAACTAGAAAACAATCTTTTAAATTAAAAATAAATAAATTAATTTCAAAATATAATAGAAATTACATAAAATTATATTATACTTTAGACTAAAGATACTCATTAAATCAGATAAATGAGATGGCTCGCTTGAATTAACAGACAAGAAGTTTCTTTAAAGGCATAAACATTTTATTTCAATTATTTGCAACAAAGGGCTTCATTACAAAATCATTTCTTTCAAAAATTTTAAAACTACTGTTCTAATCACAGTCTCGCGATAAACCAAGGTGTTGCTACTCTTTTTCAAACAAAGTATTAACTCAGGTAATTTACTTACCATAAGTGGTGCAACAATAAGCATACTTTCAAGAAAATTTATTCAAAAAATAAAATAAAAAAGGAAACAAATTCATCTGGATAATATTATTATTTAGATATATTGACATCACATTCTCACATTTTTTATTATTATCCCCTTCATTTCGAAATTTGCACAGCTTTTCATTAGCAGATAGTACAGTTTCGGGGGAAATTTTCCAAAATCTAATTAGCATATTTTTGAAAAATATTAATAAGTATGCATATTTTCTAGCAAATTTATTCAAAATAAAACAAAATATTCCCAACTCAAATGGATAAACTGTCACTTAGATTTACTCTTAATTTAAATTTGTAGAGCAAACTATAATGTATTTCCATTCATTTACTAACACATTAAAAATTAATCAGCACATTCTTAGCATTTTTATTAACCTTTTTGTGTGATATTTATCTGTAAATATCAATACACACAGTTCATCAATAAAAATCAAAACGAATACTCAATTAAAAATAAATTTTTATATAAAAACATCAACAAATCGAAAAAGAAGCATGCATCTTAATTCTAAGAGCTTAAAACATCCCCATCTGCATACATTACAAATTTTCATTCAGTGTTACACCGATAAAATAAAGGAACAGCTTTAAAAAATCGAAGCAAAATAGTCGATATACTTACCACCGGCACCAAGAGAAACATGTTCTTTCCCTTGAGCAATTTTATCTTGTTGAACCTAATGCGAAAATCCATATAAGATAATTTCTGCATAACAGTTTTAACAGATTGAAAATAATACAGAAATATAACAAAACCTTTAGCATATTAATTATTAAAGAAAATTTACCTTACATCAGTTGTACATCAATATTTCATTGGATATTTATTTACAAAAGCACAAGACAATATGCATTAGTAAAAAATTCATTAAAATTTATTTGCATGATAAACCAATACTCATAGGACTAGAAGCTTAAGATTACATATTTATAAACTTTTAAACATACATTAATTATCAAATACTAGCAATATAAACAACATCTAAAAATTACAGAGACTAAATAAAAACTTGCAATCTAAAATGTTCAGATAATAGTACATAATGCTTTTAACTAAGAGTTTGCAGTTAAAAATTTTCAAAATCTTAAAAATATATAATAATAATAATAATAAAATAAACATATGATTTTATGCAGACTTCACTTTAACATTTGAAATAGTTTAAAATTATATATAATTACATCAGATCTAATAATTTAAGAATTTATCCCCAGATTTTCAAGATATAGAATTGCAGCAGACCACACAGAGATGAGAAAATCATATGCATTCCCTGCAATACAAGAGCTATAACTTCCCGACCAATGTCAAGAGATTTTAGCATTTTGCACTGTGTCTGTCATCAAAGCCTCTTGATTTCAGATTGAAGGCCTGATGAACCAATGATCTTGTTTTTCCTCCAGAAATAATGAATCAGAGGATGTAAAATATTACTGAAAAAATTAAAGAAGGCGTGGCTAATTCATTCTGTAGAATTTTTTTTTTTTTTTTTTTCATATTAACAACATGCCAGAATGCTCTTGAACTCTCAACTAGAGAGATCTTCATTAGCAGGTTCCTCACGTCACAAGGACTATACTTCACTACAATAATTATTCTATGCTATCCATGAATTGTATATTTGTAAAGAGCTTCTCATAATTGTAATAAATGTGTTTCGAGTTCAGAAGTGCAGTTAGTATTACACGACCTCACAATGTACTAATCATTATACGGAATCACCTGCAGCCAGCCACTACAGAATATAAAATAACCTATACAAAATAGGAGTGCCAAACAGTATGGAGAAAAAACTTGCTATGATATATCCTATTATAAATAAGCACTATAGGTTTAATGAATTCCCTGATTTTTAAAGTATGTAATACAAAGCTAACTGTACAAATTAAAAATGCCAAAAATATAAGTAAAAGAAAACTTGCTATTATATATTCCTTCATAAATTGACATTATATGAAAATTTCTAAGACTTAAAAAAGAGAAAATATAATTATTCAAGATTTGTTTCTCAAATGATTGCTTGTATACAAGGGTTATGATAATTATTTTGCAAAAATGAAATGGCAACTGTAGTCAAGATTTGACACTTGCATAATGAAAACAGTAACATTTTCTTTGAGGTATTTAATAACAATTAAAACCTGCTAAATTATAAAACAATAACATTTTCATTCTAATGATTTCCTAGTAATCTACTAGTTGAAAAGTATTACACTATGGAATAAAATACCCAACACTCTGTTGCTGATATGTTACAAAGGGCAAAATTTATTTATATTAGATTTTTTTTATTTATGTTTTAAAAATTACATTCACCGAAGTAAATACTTGTCACTTAATTTATTTCATTTCATGAGAATATCTTAATAATTTATTACTTCACACTAATAATATTACACTGAATTAAAAAAAAAGCCCACAATTACAAATCACCAAAACCAACTTTACTAACAAAAATATGCACATATGAGGAGCTGCTAAGTAGAACAAAAATTATAAGTAAATATCTCAAAATATCATAAACATTAAAATGCTGCAAGAAGAAAAATAAGTAAATAAATTTAAAAACAGGTTTCATATCAAGAAAAGTAATGAATAAGTTACAAATTATAGGGCATTTAGCCTCATTTGTTAACAAAGATATACATACAAGATAATTCAAGCTTGAAAATCTGTATTACAATTTTTTTTTCATATTTTTAAAAGGCTATTTCCAGACAAGCATAAAATCAATACAATAATGTCTTGGCATTAATGCTTATTACTGTAACTCTTTTAAGAAAACAATAATGAATAAATATATATATAAGCCACATTGGACTTTGAATTCAGCTAATTTACCATTTTCCGCTTTATATTTTTATATGTTTATGTTTGTTTTATGTTTTGACTTGTTCCATCGTTTGGTTTTCCTATGTTTTAACTTTTCAATTGTCATATCGATAGGTATTTTACTATATTTTTTGCCATTACTAGTTTCCAATGCTTAGTATTTTACTGTGTTTAATTTTTCGTGTAGTATAATTTTTCACCCTTCAATGCCATTGTTTTTTTAAAAAATGTGTTGAACTTTTCTTGGAGTCACAGCTCCTGGTAATTTTTTGGCGAGCTTTCTACAATTTCTAATATCCTTAATTTTGCAGCATATCGTGCAAAAAATTATTATATTGTACTTACTACCTTGCTTGTTAATATATATATATATATATATTTATATATTTAACCTAACAAATATAACACTTCACACACTTACACTATTATATATAGTTGAAATAGCTGCAAGCAGGTTTTCCAGTTTTTTTAAAGGAGAATATGCTTGTTGTAAACGGTTTAAGAAATGATTTACAACTTCAAGAGATGTCCCTTCAGGTAGCTTAAATTCTGGCTACAAGAATAAAAGAATTTATTAATTTTAACCAGTAAATGCAGATTTTTCTGTACAACATAAGCAAAAATCACAGTTAGTAAATATGGTTAAAAGTAATTAGTGGAAAGCAATTCTTACCCGGACACCTAATTCTTCTGGAGTTTTTGTGCGAGCAAATTTTATGTTGTCAGACAAAAGCTTTAATGATCCATTCCTGTAATATAATACCAAATAAATAAAATATTTCAAAATTAAAAATGCTAAAATAAAAATTACAGCATTTTATTTCAATAAACTGACATCTTGTTTTCTGCTGAAATGCTTTTATTAATTTTAATTCTATGAAGTCATTTCCCTTATTGCCAACTCTGATGGAAGATAACAAGCAAACTCTTTAATATAATTTAGTTTCTACAATAAACATAACATATAAAAACATCACAGGACATTTGTTAATAATTCATCAAATTAGTCTGAATTTTTTAAATTCTGTTAAAGAAGTTTTAGAATGTTCCACCAGAGCATATGAAGACAAATTCCTGGAAACGTGCATCTTATTACATACTTAACATAAATAATCCTCTTATTTTATGTTCATAAATTTTATGTGAATGCCTTAAATACTGAGAAACGTTTATTCCATTTAATGTAACCCAAATCTTAACAGTTCACCATTTAATGCTGGAAACAAAGTTGCAGAACAAAAATAAATATTAATATTTTTATTTTAAACAAAGTTTATACTGTATAGTAACCCAACTTATTTGAAGTGAGGATTCCATAAATAATTTCTCCTTTCCTTCATTCAAACAATATTCATACAATTAGTTTAGTCGCTTATTTATTACTGCTAAGTGTTCATTCTTTATATACCCTTACAATACTGAAAACATTATGTTGATTGAACCACCTGTTCCAGTCTTTAAGAAATGTGCAACAAAGAGACTAGTTCAAAACTTAACCTGATGGACATGATGCCAGAAAAATTAGAATTGATAAATCTGAACATGCAGCTATTTGAGAATGTTATGCATCGGCTCCCACCTGGTGCCGCCGCCTTCTCACAAAACATATTAGTTAAGAATGATTGTGCAATTGTTGTGCATTCTGTTGCTAATGTAGAGGCATATAGTTGCAACATGGTATGAGCTGCAACATATGCATAGTGACTAGAGTACGGAGATCAGTAATAATAATGGCAAAAGGTTATCATAAAAATTTTAATAATAATACTTGATTCAAACTGTGATTGTGTTGTCACAGAAAGTAGAGAACATCTAAGTATTATAGAAAGAACATACATAAAGCAAAAACAAAACATGTCCAAAGAAAATTTATATAACTTTTTAAGAATGTAGCATTAACATAAGCAAGATTTCAAAATGGGAATTTCTGTGCATTCAGTTAACAGGGATTAGAACTGTGACAGTATAGAAAATTTCCATTGGTTGCTTTAAAGGCTACAAAACTTCAAATCACATGATATTCAAAATACTGCTTCAAGCAAACTCTAGCAATACTGGTCAGTATGATTAATTTGCAGCATTTCAAATGAATATGAAGAAAATCATTTTACAGAATAATCACTGTCACTGAATTGTCATACTTGTGATTTCGTGCATTTCACTCACCAATGTTTTTATTTAAGTGTTAGATAACAGAAATGTAACAAACCTTGTATATTCATTCACAAATAACTGGTAGATGTAACCTTTCAAAGGTTTTATGACCAGTTTATGGAGGGAATCTTCAATAACGGCATCTATATCCAAGAATTCATCCGATCGCAACTGAAATCATAACATATTTTTTGTTAATTATGGCTGTAATTAATAAAACAATAATAATTAATAATTCATATACAGGTTTATTTTCTATCCCAAGAGAAAAAAGACAGCAATCAGTTCAAATATCCCATAATACAGATTAGTGCTACATTTATTTAATAACTGTTCAAAGACCTATTTCCTTGAAATTTTATCAAATAAAAAAAAAAAAAAAAAGAGGAGAGAGAGAGAGAAAACATTGCAGAACACGTTTCATTCTATTTTGAATTTCTGATTCTAAAAATCAATGATACAATGTATGGATACATATTAAAAGTCATTAATAAAGATTTTACTATGAGCTAAAAAACAACATTTTTTTAACTACTTTTAAATTTATAGACATATGCCACATGCACTAGAACGATGTCTCTAGAGTAATGCCTTATTGTGGAAATGTACGAATATGAGAAAAGAGTTCATACAGTATGCATGACTTTCAGAAATGAGTAAGCGAAATCTAAAATTCCATAGTAGTTATATAAATGTGAAAAACAGTTCTTGCAATATTTTTGCTGAAAAATGCACATATTGTTAACATTTCAAGGCCTAATTAAAAAATTTGAGGAAAACGTTCAGGTTATGGACATTAACACACCATGGTAATAATTAGTTATTTGATAACATAGCAACAATGAGTGGAAGTGCAGCTGACAGTCCAGTAATTTTGATTCACTGTAACAGATCATATAGATAAGCACTATGCAATGCATTCTTACAAAATATTTGTGTTCCTCCAAAATTCAAATAATGCAACAACTCAGCCAACAGACCATTTACAGTGTTGAGGACTTACAGACTGTGTACTAAAAAAAAAAAAAAAATATGCAGATGACAATATCTCAAAGAAAATCATAGTTTCAAATTAAGATTGCATAAACAGGCACAAATGAACATATTTGCAATGTAGATAATCTTTGTGTGATTCACAATAAGCCATCGTTTCATGAGAGTTATAACACTACTAGAAAGATTTGTTGTTATTGCTAATGTTCACTTGTCTGACCAACCCACGCCCATGGAATTCTTCGTGGCAAGGAGCAGAAGTTTACACCTGCCATTGGCTACAGTCTTGAGCACCTTACATTTGACAGTATGATTTAGCTCAGTTCCACCCCCAATTTTGATGGAGAGCACCCCAGGGGGACGGTTCCGAGGGTTTTTCACCCCTCTTCCCTTACCATCAACCTATTGAGAGGACTTTCAGCTCGCTGTATATTTAGAATGCTCCTATGCTGCGTGAAGACTATACATTTACAAATATCCATGCCTTCTCCAGGATTCGAACTGGGTTCTTCGACACAGCAGTCAGTGACACCGGTTGGGTGGCTTAAAATATGTCAACAGCATGTGGTGTTTCCAGGTGGTCACACACCCAAAGAAAGAGTAGTCTACAGTCAAGAGAAAGTGCGCTTTACGCATGCATGTTTAATATTTACGCATGCGCATTTAGCACAAAAAACGAAGCAACTTAAACAACTTACATTGAAAGAAATGTTTAATAAAGTAAACAAATAAATATTAAGCTCTTTTTTTTTGTAAATTTTGATACCCTTTAGATCATAATTGCTCTTTATTTCATAAATTATGGTTTCATATTTTTAATTGTATAATTTCTTCATGCCATCTTACCAGATTTAAGATGATGATTTATAATCCGGAAAAACCCGTAATCCGGAAGTCCCGACGAGTCCAGATTACGGACTTTGTAAAATAAATTGAATATCAAAGTGAAAAAAGTTCAGAAAGTGCAGTTTTAGATTTGCTTGATGTGTTAAAAAATCTGCACCTGAAGTAAATTTTAAAATTCATGGAATGGTTGGTTCTATTGGCAACCATTTTATACTGCTAAAAATGGTAAACATTCAAAGATTGTTATGCAAGATCTCATTCACAGATGTTATGAAGCATGGATAGCAGATAATATAGCGCATGCATAACCAACTCTTCAGACGTTTTTGTGTATTTCCTTAAATAGTGAAAATAGTATTAAAATATGCTTCTAAAGCTAAAACAAGATAAAATAAGGAAAAGATATTGAATTAGTTACATGGATTTAAATTGTGTTGAGTATAATAAAAAATGAAAAATTACATTATTTATTATGTGTTTTGGCTTCAGTCATTTTGATCAAAAAAAGTAAACCAACATGTGTTACAATTAGATAATTGCAATACTATGAACATGTACTTTTATTTGAGCATCAGTGATAAAAAAATTCATGAAAAACTAACCTTACTCCTTTCTTCTTGCAATAAGTTTTCAAATCGACCTTCACCATGCTTTAGAAGATAATTTTTGATTCCACTCATGAACTGTCGAATCTATAATTGATATTACAAATCACATGAGTATCATATATTATTATTAATGGACATAATCTATAGTGTTGGATTACATGATATTCCTTACATTTCGCATCACAACAGCTGGTTTTGTTTCGTTGCTTTCTTTTGTGCATTGAATAAAGTGTTCAATAGATTTGGCAAAAGTGTTGTCCCTCTCTTCTGCTAGTCTGAAAAACAGTAATAATATTTTATATAAATTATTATTTCATTCATAAATAAGTAAAAATTTATGGAAAAATATTCATGCACATTGAAACACAAAGTTAAATTGCATTAATATAATAAAAAACATACCTAAAAATATAATGCCTAATGTTTTCACCAATTCTAGAAGTGCTTCTATTCCTAAGTGCAACAACTCTTTGAGCAGCTGGAACAAAATATGCTTTTTTAAAATAAAATAAAAGCAAGTTTCTTTCATTCTCATTTTTCAAAAGGCTATTTGAATAGCTACACTTACTCTTCTTTTAAAAGTCTATAGTAGTGTCATACACAAAAAATAAAAACAAGCCATAATTTTTAACTTTAATGCAAATAATCTGATGAACCTCTGATATAATTCATTTTAATTTTTTTTATTTATTACAGTAAAGAAAACTAATAATGGATTATATCAGAGTATAAAAATAATTATATATCAGAGAATAATATTTGTTGCATTATTGCAATTTCTGAGTTTCTTTCTATGTACTGTAAGATATAGATAATGCACTATAAATAACAACACAGATTCAAAACATTGCAGAGTTTCTGTTTATTTTTTCTTCAAACAATTGAACAATATTTTACACAAAAAGAACTGATACAGATTAAAAATGTTTGCATTACTAAGGTAAATTATGAAGTTGCAGCTTATCATCAGAAACAGAATTCTGTGATAATTCAAAATGAAAACATGCTTAATATGCATTAAAATGCATGTACAAAAAGTCTCAGAAAAAAAAAAGAAAGAAATATATCAATCATTATATATTTAAAATTTTCTTTCCCCCCTCTCTCTATATATATGATCAGTTACAAACTCTAGCCCATAGATGGCACTGATACACCATAAGTGCTTTAAAGTTTTGCGAATTTTTAGAATATAGCTAAGATATGCTGTGTATCATCAAGAGTGTAAAGTTGTCCCTAATTATATTATGTAAATAAAGGATTAGTATCTAAAATACATTCAATTACTGTCTCTGGAGCTCATTATATCAAGACTCAGGTAAGAACTTGCTATTTCATTTGAACTGATTGTCAATTGAACTGTTTTGTTTTATAATCAAAAGAGAATATCATCATTATCATTACTATTATTCAGAAAGATTGTTCTAACTCAAATAAATATACTCTTGAATATACTCTTAATATACATTCTTAAAAAGTTTAATACATTTTACATACAGAAAACGAACATTAGCAGGAAAATTATTTTTTAGCGCATTTTTCTTTTATTCAAAATAAAGCTACACTTATTATATGCAATATAGAAGCCTTTTTTTTTCTAGTAGAAAACGTTACTAAAACATGAGAGAATATTACAAGTACCTCAATATCAAATTTCTCTCCAAGTAAGTAAGTTACATATCTGTTAACATTAAAACTGATTCACTTTTTTAAAAATGTATATTTATATCAACAATCAAACAAACACTTTTCTCTAATTTACATGGCCATAAAATTCTGCTATATTTCTTCCTTATCAAATGTTTGAACTATATTCAGGATGAAAAAATTTGAATATTAACCTTTATCCACCTTTGTCACCGTTTTTTTTATTTATGGTGCTAACAACTATCATTATTACAATCTATTAGGTACTTTCCCATTTTCAAAAGATGAAACTATATTGCATATGAATACATTTATTTATTTGGGATGCAGATTTATAAAATCCTTCTTCCTTTTAATGTTGTTTTGAGTTTAATGCGTTTTTAGCATGATAAGATAGGTCCAGACCTCCCCTCTGATCTAAAGTCTAGGAATGGCAATTTTTTAAATATATGATATTGAAATGGCTTCTTTGTTTTACACCATTTTAGTTTATGAAAGATTTAACAATCTGTTTACACAATGTGAGATAAACCTGTGTATTAAATTTTGATGTTTAATACAACTAAAATCACAATCATATTATTAAATGCAAAGAATTCATATTCTGATAAAAGTTTGTTTTCAGTTTGTTTACACTATTTTAGTTTATGAAAGATTTAACAATCTATTTACATAATGTGGGGTAAATTTGTGTAATGAATTTTTATGTTTAATATAACTAAAATCACAATCATATTATTAAATGCAAAGAATTCATATTTTGATAAAAGTTTGTTTTCAGCAATGTTACAGAATTTTCATTTTATAAATATCACTCAGCTTGATAATAAATATTCACATTAACAGGCACATAATTTTGCATTAAATCTATGAGATAAACTTCCTGCCTATTAATAATCAGTATAATTTTATTTAAAATAGCTTCATTTTGAATAGAATTTATGATGATATAAATTCTTAATTAAGTTGCTGTTTGTTAACTATACCTCTTGCAGACTATAAAAAGGGCACACATACCAAGTAAAGGTTCTAATCTCTCTTCAAAGCTCTTATTCCTGTACCTTTCAGAGCCAACAGTTGGATATTCAGAAGCTGAAGTGTCATCAATACCTTCACTAGTTGCATCACTGTATGCACTGACTGTTGAATTGCTTTCATTGTCTTCGAATCCCACGTGCTGAGGAATATTTTCAGATTTCTACAAAATAAAATTTTTATGCACAACTAAAAAATTCATAGATATAAAATAGAAGTATAATATATATGACAGTTATGAATAATCATATTTAGATGCACCCTTAAAATAGCATAATATACTTGAAACATAACTGGCTAAAATTATAGAATATTATATTACAATAATACCTCTAATGCATCTGAAAATAATGCTATACATTCATGACATACTGAGTCAGAAACTAACTAGACATACCTTACATATTTCAAGAAAAACATAAGTATGCTGCACAAAAAGCAAACTTCATGGAACTTTCATTATACAAAGTATAAGTATTTACTAAATTTCCCATGAAAATATACACAGATTTTCATCTAACAAGAAAATGTGATGAAAATTTCATTTCATACAACAGTAGGCATTTACGAAAGTCTGCATACAAACAGTTTCTTTTTCATCTCGCGTAACTCTGCTTGTATTACACAATTTTCCATATTAACAGTCAAGCTAGTCGGATAGCCATGAAGACCCTTAGATTTGATGCCATATCAATTATGTCAAAAAATTAATTTAAATGAACTAGTTTCCTGGTAGTATTACTAAGGTACTAAAGGGCTTCTATCCAAAGTGAAAAAATGTCTTCACTTGAAACTGATTATGCGTCACCAGAATATCAGTTACACTTCCATTCAAAATTTTTGAGAAGCTAAATTTTAGTACTAAAATTTGTACTTCCCCAGTACAGAATATTTTACTAATTGTATAATGAGTGAAAGCAAATAAAAATATAAAACATTTACTTAATGAATTACAATCCCATATTATCAGAAAACAAAAATAACTCCTCAAACCTTTTGAAATTTGCTATTTTAGCAGAAAAAGTTAAGAAGTTTAATGTTAATATGGTAGAGTTAAAAAAATAATAATAATGCATAACTATGATATCTAAAAGCTTAAAAATTCTTATTTTAAATATTATAGAAGTTAACTATGTTTAATACACAGATTTTCAAATTATAAAAATATCGCAGCAAAATTTTAAAAACAATGGCAAATAATTAAAGCAAGTTTGTAACAAAGCTTACAAATATAATTTTTGTAAAGTTTTCTTAAATCTTTAGACTTTTCAAAAATGAACTCATCATTAAAAATTCAAATTCTTACCCCTATATCATTTTTCTTGTTATTTTCTATAACATAATTTCGCTGATTTTCCATCTTTTCTCGTTGTAATGTGTCATCATCACCAAGTATATCTGTTTCAGGAAGAACTAATCTCAATAACCTTTCCCATCTCAGGCTATCCCAAGGTTCACAAAACTCTGTAGCAGTATCATCTGCAATTTCACTGACACGCTGCCTATCGATGATGTCCTTGTTAAGATCAGGTGGACGGTCAAGGTTGTCATATTCTGAAACACGCATTAAATTGCTTTGAGTCAAAGGCCTTATATCTGGAAGAGCTAATTCTGGAGAACGCAATGCTATGAGATCTTCAACAGTTGTTGTATCACCAAGTTGACTATCTGCATCTTTATAAGGTATATGGAGGGGAAATTTAGAATCTAGAGTACCAGGCATGGACATAATATCATTATCGTCACTGCTACTGTCATCATGGGCCATCCATTCCCATGATGAATCTAGTGGCCATGCTGTGTTACTTTGTAATCGACCTTTACCCTTTTTAGGAGAGGAAGACTTTTTCTCACATTTCTGAGACAATAAATCATGAACAGACACTTGAGTTTGGCAATCTTTTTTTGCAGACTGACTGGCTATACGTTGGTTTAGTTCCTGAACCCAGTGAGTTGATAATGCTATGTTCTTCCTGTGTTGAGGAGAAGGGCCTAAACCTTTAATATTATCAACACTTGATGACAGGCTTGCCAACCTTTCTTCATCAAGTGTGGATTCAATTTTACGACATGAAGCATTCTGAGGCCAGTGCAAATTGGGATCAGAAAATCGATGATTGAAGAGTCTCTGTGGCAAGTGCTCCACACCCCCAAATGAAGAAGTCCTCTGGTTATTTGTTTCAAGGGGGAGTGAGTCAACAGGCTCTGAATAAAACGGACTAGAGAAATTTTCACGGTCTTCTGGAGAAGAATCATCTTTGTCAAAAGAACTTTCGGCACTAATTGAAATATGATTTTGTATATCATTAAGAGGAATTTCAAATGTATTTGTGGAAAGAACTTCAGTTTGTGTTCCTTGAGTGTAACATAAATTTGCAGCACTTTGCTGCTTCTTAGAAAAATCATAGCTTTTATGCTTTATTTCATAACTAGGCTCATCATTTACAGTAGACTGAAATGTTTTAAGTTTAGGCTTTCTCTCTCCATCTTTTGTAATTGTATTACCCCATATATCCTCATAATCACTTATTTTATCTGCCAGACTGCTTTTATAATAAGCAGGAGATAAATCAGCGATATTTGATTGTTTATAGTGTGCAACCCTAGGAATCTTTTTTTCTCCCTTTTTAGTTTCAGACTCCTCAGTTTTCAATTTAACATCTGATTTTTCTATAGTTACACTATTTGTTGACTGGCTTTTAGTGTCATTGTTGCTGCTAGGAGAAGACAGATCTGGAGAGGTTTCTGAGCTACCTGGAGGTTGAGGTGCAGGTATATTGGCACAAGATGAAGTTCTTGAAGTCATGAAAGAACGAGGTGGTGGTGGTGGTGGAGTTCCATGTGACTGATGCTTGGGTGCTACTGGGGGAGGAGGAGAGCTACTACTAGGCGAACTTATATCTGGAGGCTTTTCTGCGCTAGTGAGACCTAGCGTTGAAGGAGGGGAAGGGCCAGTGTGCAAGACAACTGCACTAGCTCCTGGTTTAAAAGTGGAATGAGTAGAAATATTTTCAGTAACTCCCAAGCTGGGAAAAGGACCAGCAGGTGGAGCAGAAGCAGGACTATGTACTAGACTGGACAGCCAGAAATCTGAAATGTAGAAAAAATATTTAAATAGATAACTCTCAAGCACATTCAGCCCCATGTATTAATATCAGAAACACAGGAAAAAAAGCAGGTAATTATTGGAACACTATTATAATGTAGTAATATGTAATAGCAAATAATAAGCAACTGCGTGCATCATCAAAGTTGTACCCTGTAGCCCAGCTAGCTATTTTATAACTGTCATTTGAAATGCCATATTTTGAAATACAAATGCTGGACATGCTGATTACGGCAAACATATCAAATAAACTGTTTTAAGCTGATTAGATATCCAGATTTCTTCACAGTATACAAAGTTTCATATTTCTGAAATATACTAATTGCATATATTTGAATAATTTAAGACTAGATATTAAATTTTCAAAATTATAACTTCAGTTAAAATTACTTTCTACTGTAATTATGATCTAAGACTTAGTTACTATTTTCAGAATATGATACAAAAGCATGAAATAAACTTGTAGTCCACTGATTAATGCATTTTATTATAAATTGTATGAAGACTCCTGATTTCTGGTAAATAAATATCAATAATATCAAAAGACAAAAATTTTTAATTATTTTATATTTTGATCAATTTTATTTAATCTGAGTGTCAGATGTGTCTAAGACATATGACATGTTGTTTCTGACAGAAGACATGTCATAATACATACGATTGTGTCTGCATAAGACATGTATTTTTGATTTTTGTACTTAAATGAAAACAACTGTATAATAACTCACCTTGTCCTAAAAGAGCCAAAGAGGACAATTCTTGTCTTGAACCAGCTTGAGCAAGAGGAGATGGCAATGCTAGTTGCACGGGTAATTCATCACTGCAATAATTTTATACAATCAATGAAATGATAGTTTGAAAACTAGGATTTTATGCTATATTATACAGGAGAATTCTGGCAATTCACACACATTGGAACAAAAAGTTGCATACACCAGAAAGCTTTGTGGATTATAAGTTATGCCTTATTGAGTTTTTACACTTTTCCCTTCCTAACTTTTATACTATATTTGGATTGTTTGCATATAACTAACGAAAATACTCACATCTAAATTATTTAATCATGATTTATTATTATTAACAAATATTATTATATTTTTAAATTTATTTAGCAACAAAGGAAATAATATCAATGCAAAGGGGGAATGTAGGGGGAGGGAAAAGGATAAAGGCTAAAGAAATTTTTCCAGGGAGTAAATAAATTTTTTGTGAAAATTCATCTATTTATTATACATAATAAAACTATATATTCCCAAGCAAAATTTAAAAAGTAATTTTTATTTTCTTAAATGATAAATAAATACATTGTTTACAGAAACTCTAATCATATGGTGATAAATAAATACACTGTTTACAGAAACTCCCACAGTGTGGTTTGCCTAAACTGAATCTGTATGTTAATTCTACCATAAGATTCCATACATGTGCAACTGGAACAATAAAACTAACAGCAGTTTACAAAAAGTGCTAGAATTTAAATTTTCAATTTATTAAAAAAAGATTTTTCTGTTTCTTAGTCTCTTATTACCATTTTTCTCATATTTTAATGTCAGAGAAATATAATTATTCATTGCCGATATAAAAAAGTTTACTTGTTGGGGGGAATAGAAAGCAACCAAATATGAGATGCACTTCACCTAAAAGTGAATGCTTGAAAAATTGTATAAATGAATCTTTATGCATATTAATCAAAACTCAAAATTAATTTTATAAGACAACAGATTATGCAATAAAAGTAAAGAGTTATTAAAAACTAAAAATTTACAGAGATTCATAATTCATTGCTTATTATAAAACAAGAGCACCGATGTGTATACTGAACATGCTAAATAACTTAAAGTATTACATATTTATAAATAATAAGGAATATATTTATAAATATTGGATATTTTTATTGAAAAATTATTTGCATATTCACATATAGAAATGTCAGTTAAATTTTCTAAAAATTGAAACTTTATTTCTTCATATCCAAAAATGAACATTGATTACAAGCATTTGTGGATTATTGAAATTATACCACACAAAAATTATAAGTGTTAGAAGATTTTGACTGCTTTTTATACATGGCCATTGATTTAACTAATTCTAAGCTTTCCGTTATTGTTACCAAAATAGTATTTCTTACTATTTATGAATATTGTTCATTTCTTTTGAATAAAATTTTGGATATCTGTGGAAAAGCTTGAAAATTATTTTAAATGGCATATGGAAAATGATGGAATGAAATTATTTATATAGTTCAGTTTCATAAATTATGGATATGTTACTGAATACTTAAAAAGCAATTCAAAGTGTTATAATGAAATATACACAAGTAAAAAAACTAATATGAAATTATTTACAAAAAGGTTTCCCATGTTTCATAATCTAAACACAGACAAACTAAAATATGCATATCAACAAAAACAATACTTTCAGAGTTACACTGTAGTATTTCACAACTGTTGATTTTCTAAATGGAAATTTACTCACCAGCACTGACAATAATGAGCTACCAACATAGGGATGGCATGAAAATTGTTGTCGGAGCCTTCCAGTCGCAACTGAGCATCACCCACAGTTTCGATCAAGTAGTGCTCCACATAGGGACCTTTATTTTCTGGCAGTCGAACAGACAGAGCCATAGTGTTTGGCTTGCTTGATTGACGCACTATAAAGTTCTGAACAAAAATGCATAAAACTTTAGAAAGAATCTTTTTTTTTTTTTTTTTTTTTTTTTTTTTTTTTTGTCTTAAATTTCATTACAGCTTAAGAATAATAAGCATAAAAACCATATATCATACTTAAAGACAAAATGGTATATGAAGGGAAAGGAAAATGAAAACAATAAATATAGATATGAAAAAATATAAATATAAATTATTTGAATATTATGCATAACTATTGAAAAGGGATTAATTGCTTTATATATCTAACAATTATTCAATATATTTCAGATGAAGCATAGATTTAAAAGATTTTAATTCCTGGGAGCTTTCCTATGTAATTTGTGAATTTGCAGCTATACATATCAAAATCTAATATATTAAATCTGAAACACACACACATATATGTATATTTGTTGAAAGTTATTATAATTTATTATATGATTAATTTTCTCTGAAATTTTTAGGCACAAACTGTACTTGAACAATAGTCACATATCTATACCAAATTACTCCAAAGAAGAGTTAAATGGCATTGATAATTTTTTAAAGATACTTCTGTTTTCAGCATTCAAGAGAAATTCAGTTAGTACTCCCCAAAATTCCCACAATTCCATTTCAGCATGATCAAACCAAGGCAGAGTAACTGAAGTTTCAGAACCCTATTAATTCACCTTAAGTTTCATATATATATATGATAGTCCTTTTTTGACAATATGAAAGAGATGTCATTTGATTTTCCATAAAATTAGCTATGATTGCGGGATTTTAACCCGTGAGGACATGCGTCGGGCGTTCCAAAAACATAGTACAAAAATTTCTCCTTTTGGTGAAATTTTTTGACCTTCTCAATAGCTGCATTTAACATCATGTATGTGTCATTCACAAGCATTTCCAGAATTTATCCCTCACACTTTTCTTAGAAACTGGGTAGCCGGGCTTCCTAGGCCTGACGTGCGTGCTCGCATTGTCATTTAGAATTGTGAAAGAGATCAGGCAATTGCAAAAATGTCCCGCTATTTGAGTTATGACGATTAAATGAAAAGATTACTGAAACTATTAGCTGAAGTGTCGACTGATGAAGATTCAGTTAATGAAGAAGATGAAGAACAGTTTAGTGATCACCAATTGAATTATGAAGAGGAATTAGACTCAAGCAATGAATCTAGTAATGAATTAAGTATCTGTGTGTCTGCGAATTGCTATTTTGGCAAAGATAAAGTCACAAAATGTAATAAAAGAGAACCAAGACTTGCTGTGAGAAATCTTGCTAACAACATTGTGACAAAATTTCCTGGAAAATGTTAGTGAAGCAAAATTTGTGTCCTCCCCTATGAATTCTTGGCCAACGCTTATAGATTAAATAATAATAAAAATTCTAGTAGTTGTACGAACATTTATATTGAATCCACTGCCGTCAAATTTGGAAGAGAGAAAGATGCTCACAAATATTATAGAAATCAGAGCATTTATTGGTATTCTTTATTTTGGATCACGTAAATGTTCGAGACCTTTGGGGGAATGACGAAACAGGGCTTGACATGTTTCATCGAACAATATCTTACAAAAGTTTCATATTTCTAATGAGATATTTGAGATTTAATGACATAAGAGATCATCCTTCTCGAAGGGAGATGGATAAACTAGCTCTGATAAGAAATGTTTTTGAAAACTTGGTTGAAAATTGCAAACACGTTTACAGTCTTGGCAAATATGTCACAACTGACAAAAAATTAGAACCCTTTCAGGGAAAAAGAACTGTCAAAAGAATTTACTTGAGAAGTATATTCATCCCTGTTTGGATTTCAAACAAATATGATATTAGTTTCCTACACATCAAAGAAAAATAAATGCATTGTTCTGTTGTCCACCATGCATAATGACAGCACCATCGATTTTTCGACTGGAGAAGCACACCCAAAAATAAATAAATAAATAAATAAAATAAATATTTTGCGGAGAACACGGCAGGATTATTTGCAAAAAATGTGAAATGTAAGCTTTATTTTGAACCTATTTCTGTAAAAATTTAATATTGCATAAATTAGTAATAAATTTCATTTGTGATCAAAAATAAATCAGCTTGACTTTTGTTGTTAATAATACATAATTTCAGTATTAAAATTGTTTTAAAATACAATTTTATTAGATTTATTAAACTTAAAAGCATATTTTTATATTTTATATACTCTTTTTATTATTTAAATGTTTTTCTTCAATTACACAACGAATTTTTTCAGGCCTACGACACCCAATGCGCATCCTCACGTAGCTACAAGTAGGGCGCAGTACAAGTAATGCAGTTACATACTAAAGCTAAGTAAGATAATTACTGAAAAAAAAATGTAAGAAAACATTAAAATTTTACCATCCTTTCACCCAAAGCTGAATTATACAGTAAAGTATACCAATACTACAAAAGTAAAACGTGAAGACAAAATATTCAAAACTTAGAAAAATTAATGCAGGTAAACATTTATAACTTATTAAATCAGGATATCTGCATTTTTATAAATAATGGTATCATAATTCAACATCAGCCCTCACACAAAAGAATACATACCGTATTTATGCGAATCTAATGCGCATCTTTTTTGGCCAAATGTAGTATTCAAAATTGGGGTGCGCATTAGGCGCATTAGATTCGAGTGCAAAGTTCGCCGATGACGTCAACCAAATTTCTCGACTACATTTACCGTTACATTTATCGTTGACACATTATTGCATAGAGGATACAAACTGCAGAGTACGTAGTCACGAAATGGAGGGCAAACAGAGAAGAATGTCATATGACGCTACTTTCAAACGTAAAGTAATTCTTTATGCTGAAAAAAAAAATGGCAATAGAAAGGCAGGGAGAGAGTTCAACGTAGCTGAGAGCAATGTTCGCTTGTGGCGGCAACAGAAATTGGCACTGTTTGCAACTAAAGCTAGTAGAAAGAAATTCACTGGCCCTCGCAAAGGAAGACACCCTAAAATTGAAGAAAAAGTTTTGGAATTTGTACGTGAAAGGAGGAAGAATGGACAACCTGTGACTAGTGACACCATAAGAAATAAAGCAAAAGAGGAGGCTGAAGTTCTTGGAATACCGAAACAAGAGTTTAAGGCTAGCCGTGGATGGGTGGATCGGTTTATGAAGCGGATGGGTTTATCTCTAAGACGCCGTACAACAATATGCCAAAAGCTTCCTGCAGATTTTGAGGGAAAACTACTAACATTTCAGCGGTATGTCATCACACTTCGGAAGGAAAAGAATTTTTCAATGGGGCAAATTGGCAACGCTGACGAGACGGCAATTTGGTTTGATATGCCTCGTAACTACACCATTACGGAGAAGGGGACTAAGGAAGTTATCATCAAAACTTCGGGATGTGAAAAACAACGCGTAACAGTGATGCTGGCAATAACAGCAGACGGGTGCAAACTTCCCCCTTTCTTAATCTTCAAACGGAAAACATGCCCTAAAACCCCTAAGAATGAAAAGCTGTTCCCAGATGATGTCCTGATTCGAAACCAAGAGAAGGGGTGGATGACGGAATCATTAATGCTTGATTGGCTCCGAAATGTATGGAAACGCCGTCCCGGTGGGCTCTCTAATCCACCATCAATGCTTTGTCTGGACGCATTTCGTGGTCATCTCACCGACGACGTAAAAAAGAAGATGCACAGCCTAGGCAGTGATCTTGTTATCATTCCTGGAGGGATGACGTCTGTGTTACAACCCTGGACGTTAGTATAAATAAACCTTTTAAGGGGTACGTTCAGGCGGAGTACGAAAAATGGTTTTGTCAGCCAAACCGTGTATTGACCCCGACAGGAAAAAATTAAGCGTGCTGCACCGCACATTGTTGCACACTGGGTTTCTGCTGCCTGGAAAAGCATCGAAGCACCAATGATTGTGAAATCTTTCAAGAAATGCTGCATTTCAAATTCATTGAATGGCAGTGACGATGACGTGCTCTGGAACGCCGAGGATGACGATGACGATGATGAGGAAAGAAGAAATGAATCTGCTTCTGACGAAGAGAGCTGCGAGGATTCCAGTGATGAAAACATTAGTGAATAAAGACGTTTACTATTAATCACTGATTGTAGAAACTGTTAGCTAGATAGAAATGTTACGATTTATTTCATGTTCATATTTTACGATAGGTACCGTATATACGGTAGTGCTAATTAACAATGATTGTTTCACATGACAATAGCCCACTAATAGGTTAATTCTATGTTCTGCTACTTTATGTATAAATCCATTGTTGTATAAAATATGGTATCTAAATTTAAATAAATTATCATACCATTAATTGATAGTTTATATACAAATCCATTGTTGTATAAAATAAGATTCAATAAATTCCTCATATCATTGATGCGCATTACATTCGCCGACAAACAATTTTTTTATTATTTAAAGTTTTAAAATGGGGATGCGCATTAGATTCGATGGCCACGGTATGATTTATTTATGTAAAAAATTTTACTTAGATCTGTAATTTATAAATGCAACTGATTTATTTTTAACTGGCTTTCTCATGCTAAATATTTATTATACAAAAGCAAAAAAATTTTTTTCTGGTCTAAACTTATAATAAAAGAACTTTATACTATAAATGGATTATGTATATTTGATGCATTTGTTAGTACATTTCACTATTTTGTAAATCATTTTACTACCAACTATTTTCAAAAAGGCTTTAATTTCTTCCTTCCAAAATGTCCCTGGCATATGATTTAGATATTGGTAATTTCTTAAGAAATACTAATTTATTACTTGACAATATGAAAAAAGAAAGAAAGAAAAAAAAAAAAAAAAAAAAAAAAAAAGAAAACATCAGTCATAAAACGGTGATTGCAACTAACTTCAAATTTTAAAGCACTAATGCTTTAGTTAGGTTCAGTCCATATAATTTGATGGTACTGCTATGTTGTTATCTGTGGAACAATTATCTACACTAATTATCATTACTATTGAAAATAGCATCAGATAGCAGACACTACATCATCCAAGATTTTCGTCATTAGGTCTGTTTTGTTATTATGCCTTAACATTATATCTTGTCACTCAAATCTTCATCTTTTTCACTAAAATAATTTATCTTTTTCTTCATAATTATAACCTTTATCTGATAGATATCTAAGCATATCTTATTTTCTCATTAATTAAGCATTTTCTATGCTTAATTAATGAGAAAATTTAATGAGAAAACGTCTGTAAAATCAGAATATCATAATACCCTTTCTCCTCAAAAATTTATCTGCACACAGTAAAAAAATACGTGATCACCATTTTAATGTCACGACTACAGCTAACTAAATGAAAAGTTTGATGAAGAAATAGGAATGCAATAGTAGTTGATGCATTATATCCCTTAAAACTTCACATTTTAAGGGATACAGTTAGTTGAACAGTTAGTAGAACAGAATCTTCTCAGCTGAATAAATTTCAGAAAAATGCCCAAAGACTGTCATTTTTTAATTACTGAATTTGGAAGAAGACTGTATTTTTAGAAAAATTATGCACAAAAACCTTTCACACATCGCAAATAAAGTATTATAAAGAGATAAAAATTACAATTATGTAATATTCATTTTTTGCACATATATGTAGTAAGCTTATTTTACATGAATTACCTATGTAATGATGACTTGTTTCACATATGCAAGTAGTAATAAACAATTTAAATAGCTTTACATTTCATATTTATATCACATTTGGAAATTTTAGCTAAAACTTAATATTTCATCTCAATATGGTTTATTTTAAAATAAGGAGGCATGCAGAAAGAGTATTTTTTGGTATATTCTAAAACAAGCAACAAAAGAAAATGAAAACCTGCTAATTACAGTAATGTAACTTAAGCTATTTTATATACTTTTAATAATAAGATTATAAAAGTTTATTAATTTGTTATAAAACTTTTCTAAGTGAAACCTACAGCAAATGCAACACAGTATAAAGGCAGATATTTCACAATGAATTCAACAGTAAAAAGAAAAAAAGGGGTTAACAACTACAAACTTGTTTTTACCAGGGCCAGTGCCAAAGCTGGTACAATTGGTGCAGCTGTACTATGAGGCAGAATTTGGGAGCAGCAAAATTGAATTTATTTAGAATTTATTGAAGCACTGAGCACACAAATTTAAGGATGGCAAAGTTCTTAGAAGTTAGGGCAGGCACTGGGAAAAAAAAAATTAAAGTTGTTAAAATTTTTAAAAGTTCGAGAGGCACCAGGCAAAAAAATTTAGGACTCGCAGATTGCACCAGATGGCAAAATGCCCAGCATCAGCCCTGGTACTTGAAGTCGAGTAATGACATCTAAAAAATATAAAAACAGAAAAAGTTAACTAAAATAAATAATACAGGATAGTCAAAAACTAAATTTCAGAAATGAGATGCCCGTACCACAAATGGACAAATCAGGCAGCACAAAAAAGGGTTACTTGTATTGACGTATGGGTAAAATTGTTAAGTGGTTTATCAGCTATGGCAAATCAGACAAAGGCTATCTCTTTAAGAAAAAGGATGCTTTCGAGGGAGATTTTCTGAATAATATTCATACTCCACATGAGAAAAAGTATAAAAATGTTTATGCAACCAGCCCATTTGCTAAAATTTGAGCACAGGTTGAACTACTAATGTCAAGCAGCTCAATCTACTTAATCACTGGCAAGCTTTGAGTTAGATAGAAAAAGTACAAATGCTGTACTTTTTTACAACAGTACACATTCCATATATATAAGTTATAATAATTCAAAGTTTTTATTAATATAGAATAAAAGAATTTAAAAAATTAAAATGTTATCCATAAGACTAAATTTATTGAGTGTTCTATAATAGGCTGATGGTTTTCAAAAATTTAAAACAGGAAATCAGTTAAGGTTACAAAAACAATTCGTGCAGCAAATTCATGTGACAGGGTACAAATTTTTCCTCCTAGAGTTCCTGGTTTAGTTCAAAAAGTTTGACAGATGGCATTGCAGAATATAAATCCATAAATTAAAGAAAATTAACTGAAAATCAGATCACAATTTGTGAAAGTTTTTTAGTATGTGAAAATTACATTATAATATTTTTTAAATGTCTACCATCAGCTGCAATCATATGTTTTGATGGAAGGACGAAAATTAGCAAATATTTTTTGTAAAAAGGTCAATGGAATGACTACACCTTCGTCACTGATTAGCTTTATGTTCTTTAATTTTCTCAAGCGTTCAGCTATTTTTCTAGTACACTGCATCCTTCAAATGACACTAAAGGAAGAAATCACATGGATTGAAATCTGGTTAATACAGTGGCCATTCTACTTCATTTCCTATGAAATACGAGTAATTTTAAGATATTACAAGGTTATCAAAATATTCCTCCAGGATGTCGTGGATTATTACTTCCAGGATATTATCCTATTAATCAGGGTGTTATGAAGGATTCAACAAATGCATTTTCAATAACTCACAAAATCGTGCAAAATTTTAACATATTGTTCTAAAGTCACTGTATTACATTAAAAAAGAGTCCAGTTATACCTCTTCTGGAAACAGCTGCCTATACAGTCACTTCTTGAGAACATAGTGATTGTGGAACCCACACATGAGAGTTCTCAGTTCCCCAAATTTGAGAATTTTGCTTACTGATGAATCCATCGAGAGGGCAATGTGCTTCATCTGAAACCATATAGAGTTCACATTTTTAATATTGCCATCAATGATTTCCAACATTTCATTTGCAAACATTTTCCCTTTCTCTACAGATATAGCCTGAAGCAGTTGCTATGTTTGAATTTTGTGCAGGAACAAGGCCATTTTGTGCAGGAACATTGTGCATTATCCTTATGCACCGCCATTTTGCTTCAAATGACGTGTGGCTGCAGTTTTTCAGACCAATTTTTCTAGGACAAATGCAATTGAATCCTCAATGACCTATGTATTTGTTTTTGTAATAACCAACTTGTTTTCCAACAGTTCTAATTTTCTCATCCACAGCCCTACCTATTCATTTGAATTTCTCATACAATGTTTTTATTGTATTCAGGTGAGGATCATTAGCGACTTGGAATTTGCACTGAAAGCTTCGTCTTGTTTTAATACTCTTCCCCATTCTGTAGAATTCCAATACAAGAGAAATGAATTTCCTCCAATGAATACATCATCTACAACACTTTCCTACAGAATGTGCAGTTCAGCTATCTGCTGCTTGTTCAGTCAGAGATACAAAACATCAACCCCTTCCGTGAATGAGCATTTGGAAAAGACCAGAAGGGATTTGCAGTGCCACCTGATGGAATTTTACTATGGATTTTTAAACTAAAGCTAGGAACTTGGAGGGGAGATTTATGCCCAGTCACAGGAAATTGTTGCAAGAATTGTTTTCTTAACTTGACCAGCTTTCCTGTTATAAGTTTTTGAAAATTGTCAGTCTATTTTAGGACACCTGGTATTTGTAACGTATTACTATTCACCTCAAACATCAGACATACCTTTATGGATACTCCTTGTTCATGTTTTATCACAGGTAGTGATTAAGCATACAGAATCGCTTATCTCATTACAATCGTCTATTACCTATTTGGCTTTGGAACACATTTGCAATAAAATTTAAATATTTCAAAAGTAAAAATTCTCAGGCATTGTCTTATATTTTTAAATAATGCCATTTCTTACCCCTACATCTTTCCCTTGCAATAAATGTACTGCTCCAGCTCGTCCAATTCCTGGGAGGAACCATATAGGATGCGTTCGTATTAAGCGTTCCAGTAAGCCTATGTCACATGGTGCAAAGCTGCTACTTGTATGACTGCTATCACCATCAGATGTTTCTTGAACAGAACTCACTGAAGAGCTGCTAACCATCGCAGACTGAAATTACGCATTAAGAATTAAGTAAAGATTTTAAAGTAATAATTATACAGACTAGAAGATACTGAAATTAATTGAATTCCCTCTAAAGATTAACTCAAACAATATAAGTGTTTTAAACTTTGAACTCTAAACGTTTACAAAGAAATATTTGATAAATATTTTTAAAATGTACAGCTACATACAAAATTATTTTACTTTTAAAAATTAAAATAATTTTCCTGACAATTTTACTATGGATTTCTTGTGCTACTAAATTTGACGTATAAATATGTGTATAGAGGGTTTGGCTTATTTGCTATATTTGATTATGGCAAAGCACTCAAAGACTATCTTCCTAAGGAGAAGGACCCTTTGTGGAGGACTTTCTAAGGGAAATTGGCTTGTACACTCATTACACATGGAGAAAACCATAAAAATGTCCCTGCAGCCAGTCTGTTTGCCAGAATTTGAACCCAGGGTCAAACTACTAGTGTTCAGCAACTTTAATGCTCAGGAGCTGATGGGCAGAATACAGATTAATAGCTATCAGATGTTTATTTTTTATTCAAAGCACAATTTTTGTTTTTATATATTGTGTCTCAAGAAGTCCTTGCCCTGGTTTAATTTTTGCAGCTGTTGGTCATAGACATACACTTTCAGCTGCAAAAAGTTACAAAAATATTTTGAATGAAGCAAAAATTAATGTTTTTTTACTTAATTAAAGAACTCATTCCAATTAAGCATTTTAGCTAATTCAATTTTGAGTGAAAAGCAATTTCTGCAGGAAAATTGATATTACTTGAATAATTGCCCCCCTAAGTAGGATAGTTCTTTGGTGCTATGCATTGGTTCTTGATCCCTTCTATTCATGGAAATATTTGGCCTAGCTTGAATTGCCGGTTTGGCATCGCCTTATTACTTGAGTAAAGGACGAAACACCTTCGTATTTATTTCTTAATTATTGTTCATTGAACGGGAGTTGGTTTGTTCCCCTTGAAAAAGTCAACTAATTTCTGATCAATGGCAATGATTACTTGCATTTAATTTATTTTCTTTTTACAACTGAAATTTTGTTATTCATGATTTAATTCAAGTTCCCGTTAAACATTTTTAACAATTTACATTCAAGTTACTTTAAAACAATTTTTGAAATTGAACTTACTAACTATGGATTCACTCTTTTAAGATAATTCTACTAAAATTAATCTTAGGAGATAATATAATCAATATTTCTTTAATAAATATATATATATATATGTATATGTATATTCAATTTATGATGTCAGTACAGGAATGCACTATTGGCATAGAAGGTGTGGAAATGTTACTACTATTTAATAAAACTATACTAATAGTTATGTTATTGGTATACTGATGTTGACATGAGACGGGGGAACCTGCAATCCCACTTTCAACAGAAAGTTATAATTTTCTTATTCATTTCAGCAGGTTTTAAGGATCATATCATTCACATATATAGACAACACCCTCTTATAAAAGCTTTAATTGTAAAATAAACTGTAACAAACGTAAGGATTAAGGATTCTATATGCATACAAGATCAACTGAAAACCCAGGCTCCAACTGAAAATAACTCAGAAACTTTACATAATAAAATAACATTTAGTATATACTTAATACAGAACTTCACATCAGTGGATTTCATAACATACACATTTTTTCATTTGGCTCACGATATAATGGAAATATGTGCATATCTGACTGTACAACACACTGCTGGCCATAAAAATTGCAACACCAGAAAGGAATGATCTGACGAACGTCAAAATCACACGAAAGGAAGAAAAGGCTTTGATATGCAAATAATTAATATTTCAGCCCATTTAGACAATGCAGGAGAGAGAAACGACATCTGAAGATCTGCATAAAAGAAAAGTTGTGTTGTGGATTTCTCAATTGGAAAGCACTTTGTGAGGTCGGAAGTTTGCTTAAAATATCATGTTATGTCTCGAATAATAATAATAAATGCTTACCAGCAAATGTTGGAATGTGATAGAGACAGGATCTTTGCCTATCAAGAGTGTAGATTACCGCTCTGTGATATCGCCTATTGCACTGGTCGACATCCAACCACTGTCATGCGAATATGGAATCAATGGATTGCTGAGGGTCATACTGAACAGCATGCAGGATCTCAATGCCCTCTGATGAGATATTGTGAGGTCAGCCCTGCAAAACCATACGACTACAACACGGACCATTAGTCAGGAAATGGCCATGTTTGCAGCACGCTAGTATCTGCTCATACGGTGCATTGGTGTTTGCAGCTGCGTGGATTATCAACATGATTACCATTACTTCGGCTTCCCTTGACAATGTAGCATAGAGAGAGACAGTGACTCTGGTGTGTCAAACAACAAAGCCGGATCCAGGAGAGGCACAACATGCGGCAGACACATGGATTTGAAAAGGTCCTTGCTCTTTTCCCAACGGTCATACAGGCTTGAAAAGAGCATGGTTCTAAGGAGAGAGAGGAGGTTGTTTCTCCAATCTAGGTCAGTTCCCAAGATAGAGTGGTCTGTGAAGCAACATTCATTTAGTGTGGAAGCCTATTTTTCCAATGCCCGCACGATCATCTGCATGTGGCGTGCCTTCTGTTTAAAGTTCAAATCGACACCCGCAGTTCCCAATCAAAATCGAATTCTCGCATGGGTTAATGCCTTCAGGGATAACAGGAGTGTGTACATGATAAGAAGGGGTCCTCAAAGAACTCTTGCCCAGAAAACATCGAGAGAGTTCAAGCTGCAATTGAACAATCTTCCACGTGTTCAATTTTGTAAACAGGCAGGTGTCCTTGGCATTTCAAGATGAGCCATTCAACGAATCATTAAAGAACACCTTCATTTACACCCCTACAAGATGGTTGTTGTCCAAGAATTGAAACCATGTGATTTTGAAGTGTGAAAACATGCTTGCTGTATTGCCTCGAGACGCTATTGTTTTCTTCTCTGACGAGGCACATTTTCACCTCAGTAGCTGTGTTAACAAGCAGAATATGCACTATTGGAGTGGGACAAATCCTAGGCAGCTCCACCAGAGGCCCCTATGTTCTGACAGAGACACAGTCTGGAGTGCAGTGTCGAGGGCGGGGATCATTAGCCCATACTTTTTTTGAAGAAAATGATCAAGCGACAACTGTCACTTCTGCATGTTTACCTGAACATGATCCAGGAATTTTTCTCTGCTGATCTGGAGCAGATGGACCTGGAAGTTATCTGGTTTCAGCAGGACAGGACTATGGCCCATACAACAAGAGTTTGCACGGACATTTTGCATGACCGATTTCCCCGGCGCCTCATCTCTCAACGAGGCAATTTAAACTGACCATTGCACTCTCCAGATTTGGCCCCCTGTGATTTTTTCTTGTGGGGCTACCTAAAATCCCTTGTTTAAAACGGACCTCCCAGGACCCTGAAAGGCCCTCAAAGAAAACATTCAGGCCAATATCCTTCAAATTCTTGTGGAAATGCTGGAAAGAATCCACAAAAACTTCAGACAAAGGCTTATGCAATGTTTGGACTGTGAGGGCTGCTATTTGGCCGATACATTATTAAAAACTGTGTAAACTCAAACCTCCCATGTATGTGAATATGAAAAATATAAAGAACATGGTCATTCTTGAATATTTTGCATTTTATTGATTTTTGAAATCCATGTGTCTGCCGCACGCCTCCCTGTACAATAAATTATCTTTGTATTTGCTTTTCTTCATGGTGTTGCAATTTTAATGGCTAGCAGTGTACTTAAAAAAATATTATGTTTACCTGTGCATAATAAAAATCAAACTGAGTAAAAATGCAGCCATAAGCTGTGGTAAAAAAAAATATGTTACTTGCACCTCAAAAAGATCAAATATATGTACATGTGTAAAAAAAAAAAAAAAAAAAAAAAAGAAGAAGAAGAAGAGGAACAAAAGATTAAATTTCAATTGCTAAATTTAAGAATGGAATACATTTTTGGTACTATTGTTGATAACTTCAAAATATCACAGTTCTACAATTAATTAGATGATATCCATGTGCTTTGTAGTTTATGCCTAATCTTCCCATTCACAAAAGATCAGGCAATTAAACTGAGATTTTGATATCCCTTAAAAGTATTTAGTTCGTCAGATGCACTGTATGCTTTCAAAATTAAAATCATTTACATTTAGAAGCATATTCTTCATTGCTAAATTTCTTTCCTTTTTTGGAAAGTAGAATGCTAGCAATTTTTTTCTAATAAAACAATTCAGTACATTTTAAATTTCGGACCTATGATATGCACAGCAGTTGTAAAAGCCTGGTTTCTCTAGCTAGAGTAGTCTCTTACCTGCTAATGCATTGCTTAATTAATGCCCTGAAATAAAGTTATGCAGAGGATCAAATAACTCATAACACACCACTCTTCTTACACAAAATCATTTGCACAACAAAATTTTCTTCATATAAATGGAGTTAATGTCAACAGGCAACCTGAATTCAATCACAGTTTTCTGTATTGTGGAGTTGTCATATAAAATATGTTTTTTCATAGCTATATATATACTAAAAAAATCATATACAGCATTATTTTGCTAGAACTAAGTCACAGCAAGGACAAGTACTTTCACACGTTGTCTTCTAGATTGAACTAAGACACAGTCTTCTATTTTCCTCTTGGATCTTTCGCAGATGATAAAGTTTATTTTTATGTCTTAAATAGTAACTCTTACTCAAGTTCCAGTTTAGTTTAAACATATTTTTATTCTCCAGTTAACTTTATTTGGTTGACACATTTTTTATGTTAAAGATCAAAATCTTTATTTTTAAATTACACTTGTTTTTGCACATTTCTAGAGATCAGAGCTTCTTCTCTCTAAACAGAAAATAAATTATTTGCAAAATTTCAGTAGCATTATTATTAACAAAATCTAATTTAATTAGTTAGTTAATTTATGTTGAATACTTTGGTAAGGTATTTGATACTTTGAAAAAGTGAGAGTCAGCATTTGAAAATACCAGGATAATATTTGGTTTTAAAATGTGATCATAAGGTGTGCAATTAATAATTATCAATCAAATACATGTTTTATGGATTTGATGATGAATTACAAATACAATTCCAAATGTAAAGATAAGCACATAATATTTGTTTAATTGCATAATTTTTATACATGCTATTAATGACATAATCAGTAATCAACAATTTAATTTGAAGCAAAATTATACCAACAAATATTAGATAATATGCAAATATTCACCTGTTTTTACCCCTATACTTAATGCACTCTATACATTTTTATAAACATACATACACTTAAAAAGTATACACATATAAATTTTTTAAATTTATTAATATATAAGAATAAAATTCCTGTATAACAAAAATTTATACATTTATTAACTGTCAATAATATGATCACATTTAATCTAAATATGTTACCAATACACATAACACTCATGATACAAAATATAGCATAGCCACATATAAAAGTTTTAAAGATATATATTTCCTTATAAAAATTATTTGTTTCAAAATAAACAATTATTATTTTGCATCAAATTTAATAAAACAATTTCAATGGAAAAATATAAATTGTAGTTTAGTTAATAACTTACTTTTATTTATGTCATGAAAGAAAATTTCTACCAATTTTAACTTAAAAAATTATATATAACTTAAACATGATGATTCAGTATTTTTAGTTAAAATAATTCCTATATACTCAATGGGTAATTCCCTCTGTGCGATAAGTAAATTTCTCCTACCTGAATAACATTTTTTTAAAAATTAGATCAAAAGTACTAAGAAGATGTCAATTTAATTCTGCAAAATGCATTCCATAATTTCGCTTTTTTTGACAGTTCTTGTTCAGCAGAAACTTCAAAATTTGAAGAATTTTTTAAAATTATGACAATAAATTAGAGAAAGATTAGCAGAATATGAAGAATGAGGTAGAATGTTGAATAATTCAATGTAAAGTTTTCCAAGGTTATGCTTATAACTTGCAATCTGACACTGTCATGGAAAAAGATGTTCTTTTCTATCAATTAATTCTCACTACCTTGCTTTTACCTTTTGATGGACAATTTTCATTTCATCTGTATATGACTATGTAATGAGCTTTCAGTACTTTTGTTATTAAAAAGCTGTAATTTATAATTCTATCCAAAAAAATGCATGAAATTCAATTTTGGAAAAGACTGATGAGACTCATAATCAATAATATTTTATACATTGCCTAGATCTTGAGCTCTTCTCATACAACAGCCATTTTCCCCTCTCAAAATTCCTTGACTAAATTGATAAGAGCTTCTTGGATTGAGTTGCTTTAAATGATGCTGATTATGGCACTTTTGCTACATCAGACATCTTCAAGGTTTGGAACTTTGGATTTAAATGCCGCAAATCATCATTTAAGCTTTTATTCTTAAAGTACATCTGAGTCAAAAGCTATGTGCATTAAGTTATCTCTACAGGTTGATATCCCAGTTTAAACACAAAGCTAAAAAAGGTGGAGAATCATATTTCCCCTTATTCCAAAAATTTATAAAATAAATTAAAGCTAAAAAATTTTTTCTAAACAGAAAGAAGCTTGCATAATGATAAATGAAACAACAACGTTTGAAAATGAAATACCTGTAAGTTGATATAAAACTGTCACATAAAGTACTTGTGGAAATTTCCCTGATGGCCTAGCATAATAATATAAAATACATACATACAAGTGAAAGTTTTACAATAGAACTGTTAACATTTAATATACACCATTTCTCCACCACAGGAAATAAAGCCATCATTTTGACAGATTAATAATGGTTATGTTACAAAATAAAAAAAACATTAATTTTATTATTGCATTATGATATATAAATTAGTATTAACTAAGCATTTGGTGAAAATTAATGTTAAAAAGAAGCAAATGTTAAAAGAAGAAAAATAGAAATAAATGTTAACAGAGGAAAATAAAGTTAATACAGCATTACAACAGAAAAAATAATATTTTATATCCATATCATTTACCAAACCATGTAAACTTTGATTTCTTTGTTATCGTGTAAATCTAACTCCTCAAAATTTCTAAATATTTTAAAGTGATGACATGTATCAATATTGCTACTAAAGTATGAATAAAGGTGATAATGATGTATAATGATTAATAGTGCATGCATAGTAGGTCATGTGGCATGCTATGGTAGACTGTAAAATACAAAAGTCTATTTGGTATTCAAGTGCTATCAGAAAAGGATCAATAAGAGCCGAACATTCCAGCTAGCATAGACAATGCCTCATAGATCTCAATGAGATGAATACTCTCAGTTAACATCTGAGGAAAGGGAGCCAGTGATGCTCAGCAAAGTGCATGCTGAAGTATTTCCAGACATTCAGAGAAGGAAGTGGAATGTAGGGTTGAATGATAAAATTCCACAGATTGAAATGTCTAGTTTTCTTCAATATGGCACATAAATCCAAAGCTACTTAGCACCATCAGTAAGTACACTGTGTCCAGCCAACCAATTGCAACAGGTTACATGAAATAGGGCTGCAGGGATAACAAGCAATAACTTGTATGTCAGTAAGTATTTGACACAAAGCTACATGCCTAGCATAGTAATCATAATTGGATCACAACATTAGTCTATAGTCACAGACATTATCATCTATTCTCACTTTAACATGCGGCTGAATGTGAATGATAGTCACAGACAGGTACGATGGTATCCATCAGAAAGCCATATGCCAATGGCAACTAACACACCAGCTGAATAACTAGCATCGTAGGATAGAAATAAGTTGAATAATTAACATTGGGATAACAAATCATTTTGATAACTTGTGCACATTTTCAGTCATATAACTGCAGGTCAAAACACCATGCAAGTAGGAAAACATGAGGTTTACAGTAATGCAGGGTTCCCAACAAGGGAAAGGGGGGATTTCATAATTTCAGAGGGATGCAGTTAAGCTTTCATTTACCTATTAAGAACTCAGTTTATGAACATAAAAAAAAACTAACATAAAAAACATAAAAAAGTCAAAATTTTGGTCTTTATCAACATTTTCTATACTTTTTTTGCATTTAATTTATAAAACATATTAAGAAATAATACAAATTTAAAAAAATTTGTATGTATTTTGTGAGTTTTGGAAAGGAGGGAGGAATATAATGTAGCAGTGGTGAAAGGGGTGCATAGGGCAAAAATGGTTGAAAACCACTCTATTATAGATTCCAGCATAACAATGCCAAACTACACATTGCAAAAAGAATTCTCAGCATTATGCAGAAGACTAACATCCTCCTTTGGCCACTAGCCACTCCAAATATCTTCCTCATCAAACACCTATTAAAACTGTTGGAAGTAAGGTGCATCAGGGACTGACGCTAGCTTTCCTGGAGGACCTATGAATCACTGTTGGTGCAGCTTGGCAACAGATACTCTAGGTGAACATTAATTACTTCCCTGACAGCATGCCTCACAACAAAGACACCTGTATCATTGCTTATGGTAGAAACACTAGAAAATGAATAAAAAATCAAGTATTGAATATTGTCTATCATTCTTGATCATTTGTATACCTAAGATATTTCTACCACTCCAGCATGATTTACATGTCAGGTATTGCATCATGGTATTGTGATTTTACTTTTGATGAGTGTATAAATAAAAATAAAAATTATATAATTAACAGAATGTTTTAATTTAACTTTTGAGAAGGCTAGTAATCTGCAAATAAGTGAATGTAAGAGTTGTTTGTATAGTAATTATAAACTTTGAAAAGGTTAGTAATCTACAAATAAGTTAATGTAAGTATTGTTTATGTGTTAAGGTTACATTAAGTTATTTGGAGTAGCAAAAGTACCTGGGGCTATCTGCTTTAAGGGGGGATGCTTTCATAGAGAAACCTCTAAGGCATCAAAAATCAAACTACATCTTACATGTTGTGATATTGAGAACATCTGAATTGCTTTGTATAGTATTTAATAATGTTTTTTTAAACAAATCAACAGAACCTTGATGGGAACTAGCACTAGTACATTCAAAAATATTTTTCTCAATGAATTCTATTTTTCATTCTGTGTTCTATTTTTTCAACGAAGATTAGATATGCATAAATTACTTCAGTGCTTTTAGAAAATTAGGTCTATCCAATATGCCAGTAAAGATACTACAATATATTTCTTTCTAGCAATTAATTTATGCAATTTGAAAACTAATAATAATTTACATCCTGACTAACATCTTATACACCAAACCATAATATGTGATAAACTCCATATTTTCTTGACAATGTCATAAATGCTTCTTAAGTACCTTGGTTAATTTATTAATTGTGTTAGAGAAGATTAGTAATAAAGAAAAATGCAAAAGTCCAAATAAAGATTAGAAAAGACCGAGAGAGAGAGATACCTGAGCACCAACCGAGGAAGAAGCCTGCATGCCTTGGAGGTGCGCAGAATAGTCAGCAGGATAGTGTAGAGGAGGAGGCACAGACCTAGGGGGAGGTGCAGGAGGCGGAGGCGAAGGGGAGGAAGTACTAGTGGGGGTAGTCCTACCATCACAGCTGTCTGATGTTGGGGTCTCCGCAAACAGGGACTTACTGCTTCTGTACTCGCCGCTCGGGTCTTCAGCCCCGAGGAATGAGGTATCCGGTCCAGCTCCTCGCATGAACTGCTCCAATAAAGTGGCATGGCTGAAAATAACAGAATTATCAATAATCCATAAAGGTAAATAAATATATTTTGAATTAAATAACAAGAATGCAAAATTTAAAATGTGCATCATAGCATTTCTAAAAATGTACACATTCTGGTTTTTCAAAGTTTATCATACATCACGGACCACTTATAATTTCAAGAGAATACAAAACTGTATGAAATTTAGGATGACATTTGAAAGCATAGCTTTTGGATATTTTAATTCTGCAGAAAATAGCTTGATTTGTGATTAAAAAAAAAGTTTTTCAATTATTTCATTACAAAATTAAAAAAGTCACACATATAAATTAGAAGTTTAAAAAAAAAAAAAAAAAAAAAAAAAAAAAAAAAAACACCTCAAATTCGTTTATGTTTCCTTGAAAAAGTCCGAGTTGAATATATTGAGTTAATTAATATAATGAAAAGAAAGTAACACACATAAGTAAAAATTCTAATTAAAATTATATAAAGGTATAACTTACCACAACAACAAAAACAATGCTTAAAGTAACCCATTGTTGAGACAAAATGAGCAGTTAATTTGCTGATCACACACCCTGCACTGGTGTTCACATCTTTCAACCACAAACTCATTTTGAATAAAACGTCATATGCAAAGTTTGGGTGTGTTTCATTTTTATTAGTTTTTATTCAGAAAAGATGCAGTGAATGGCTGTTCTCAAGATAAGAACTTATCTCCAAAAGAAGTAAACAAATGACTTATGACTAAATAATTCATATAGTGTTGAAATCCATCAAGAAACTGGTAAAAGATAATCTGTATTCCCTTCTTCACCTTTTATTTTTCTTTTTTACTTATTGATACTTTAATTGGTATTGAACTCATACTAGTGTTTTTTGTTCCCCCCCCCTTTTTTGATGAAGTGTTGAGTGTGTCCACATGTGCCTGCCCACGTATGCTTAGTATTTATTTATTTATTTTTTAACTTCAAATTCTGAAACTAAATTTCCTCTTTTTAACTACACACTCAGTAAAAAAATAATTTCACAGATTTTTGGAGTCTAGCCTAAATCTTTTGAAGTCTAGCCTGTCATGAATTTATTATTTCTAATGTTGATAAAGATAAGAAATAAAGCACATAATTTATATAGTGCAGACTGCTTTTACACAGTTTCATCTTTTGAAGTCTAGCCTGTCATGAATTTATTATTTCTAATGTTGATAAAGATAAGAAATAAAGCACATAATTTATATAGTGCAGACTGCTTTTACACAGTTTCATCCATAAATTCCTAAAAAAATTAACATAATTAAAGCTATCATAAAATATTTTTGCCAAAGTGAAATTTTATGCACATTTTCTCATTGAGAAAGACCAATTAAAGCCTTTTTATTGAACTTCTCAACAAATACTTCAGCACTAAAGAATAAATACATGAGAATGCAGTACGGAATCTCAAGGATATGAAGGCTCTCTCAGAGGAAATCTATGAAAAGTGAAGGGCAACTTCAAATTTCAATGATAATAATTATAATAACCAGAATAATAATTTATATGTCCTTCTATAACAGCAGTTCTTTTTCCAAATTCAAAGATATAAATTATAGTTTTCCTATTATACAAGACTTGTTTTTGATACATTCTTAAAGTTTACTTGGATAAACTTAAATTTATAAGTATTTTAAGGATGAATGTTAGCCAAAACACGTTAATATACAATTTTCCTCAAATCAGATATTTTTGGGTAAAATATTCATAAATACAGTACAAAGTCTTTAATCCGGATGTCCATAATCCGGAATAATCTATAATCCGGACCTCAAAACTACAAACTTTCTGCGCATGCGCATAATACCTTTACGTGTGCGCATAATACCTTTCAGCGTGCGCGTTTAATGTATAACGGACGGTATTAGCTAGGCTAAAATTATCTAATTATCTATTTCAGTTAATGTTGCAGATTGCGTTGTTCCTTAATCATCTAATTGGATCTGGCTTATTATTTTTTGCAGACTGTTAGAGCAATTTTATAAAAGTAAGCTTGAACTTTTGATTATGTCAAAAAGAATTTCCAATTCTGGAGCTGCCAAAGCGAAAGCATGTTTCGATGTCCATCAAACAAAAAGTGGAATTGCTGCAAAAAATGGATAAAGGCATACTCTTTGTTTCTCTAACCATTCCGAAATCTGTTTATCAATTTCACACTGCTCTGGGGGGGGGGGGCGTCGCCACTCGCAATGAACTGGAAGTTGATCTGTCAGCACTATCCTTATCTTCATGGCAGACATTTTTATTTTATTCAGCTTATAATTCATTACTAAATGTAGCATTTCATCTCGATGTACTCCGTCTTTGAAATGATTTAAATCAAATTCCTCATCATTATAAATATCACAAATACACATAAAATAGTTTTGTGGTTACAATTTCTAATTTCGACTATGCGTAATGTATGCTTTACGCATGCGCGCGTTGAAAGAAATGTTTAATAAAGTAAACAAATAAATATTAAGCTTTTTTTTGGTGAATTTTGATATTCTTTAGATCATAATTGCTCTTTATTTTATAAATTACGGTTTCATATTTTTAATTTTATAATTTCTGCATGCCATCTTACCAGATTTAAATTGATGATCTATAATCCGGAAAAAATTTTAATCCGCAATCGCCGAAGTCCCAACGAGTTCGGATTAAAGACTTTGTACTGTACAAATAAAAACATTTCCCACAGCTAAACTTTAATGAACTTAATGATATAACTTAAAATTCACATTTTGTTAGGAAACATGTACAGTACAAAGTCCGTAATCCGGACTCATCGGGGGACTTCGGCGATTCCAGATTAGGGGTTTTCCGTATTATAGATCATCAATTTAAATCTGGTAAGATGGCATGCAGAAGTTATGCTATTAAAATTATGAAACCATAATTTATGAAATAAAAAGCAATTATGATCTAAAAGGTATCAAATTTTACAAAAAAAAAAAAAAAAAAAAAAAAAAAAAAGCTGAATATTTATTTGTTTACTTCATTAAGCATTTCTTTCAACGCGCGCATGTGCGCATAATGTATGCGCATTCTTTACGCCCATGCGTAAAGTTTGTGGCTTTTGAGGTCCGGATTATAGATCATTCCGGATAATGGATGTTCGGATTACGGACTTTGTACTGTACACACTATCACATGGCATCAGTATGTAATGCCATTAAAAAGTAAGAATGACAGCAAAAAATATAAATGCATATCTGAATTTAGTTTACCAAAACATACAAAAAACTACTTACTGAACATTTTGTAGTTGAGTTATTAAAAAACAATAAATATTTTACTAGCCATATGCTGCTCAACAATCATTTTTAGAAACTCTGAAATTGGAAATGCTTGCATAGAACATGTCTGTTTAATACATGTCTATTTAAAGAATCAAAGTCTGTAACCAACATTTCACAAAACACATAGGCAAATACACAATTTTTTCTTTAGTTGCATAGCATCTTTTACTTCATCACAGAATATATACAAGAGCAAAAATAAACATAAAAGTAAAGGAAATGGCGAAAAAAAAAATTACTTGGCAAAGGATTCGTGGTCCAATGCGATGTCATCTGTAAGTCCATACTCTTCTCTTAAAGGTGAAGGTATTGCATCAGGGAATAAATCTTGCAGCATCAAATCCAAGTCATGAGCAACACCACTAATGAGCTGAAAAAAAATATTACTTAGATGTTTGCAGAGAAATAAAATATGACACATATCAGTAATACTATAAAATATGAGAATAATTACATCTGATACAAACAACATTTTTGACAAAAAGAGAAAGCAAATCTGCTTTTTTTACAAAACATTATGTCTCAAAAACAAATCACAACAATAAATACAGTCAAAAGTCGTTAATTCGGACACCCATAATCCGGACCTCAAAAGCAAAAAATCTTTCTGCGCATGCGCCGCGTTGACGCATGCTCATAGGCGTTTTAAGCGGGCGCGCAAGACATTTACGACTGCGCATATGCGTCTGCGCAAGCGCAGAATACGTTTTCGCGTGTGCGTTTAATGTATAACGGACGGTATAAGCTAAAATTATCTAATTGTCTATTTCAGTTAATGTTGATGATTGCGTTGTTCCTTAATCTTCGAATTGGATCCAGCTTATTATTTTTTGCAGACTGTAAGAGCAATTTTATAAAAGTAAGTTTGAACTTTCGATTATGTGAAATACACTCATGTCCAAAATTATCTTTACATACCCAAAAATGATGATATTCAATAAAATATCGAATCAATGTGATCCGTATTTGCAGGGAATGTGTGAAAACGAAGCCTAATTAGCATTATCCAATCAAAAGTAATCAAACGGTTTGTGATATGCAAATCTAGGCGCTACGTCATCCAAGGGTGAATCAAGCGCTTTGCGCAAACTGAATATTTGAGTGAATTTCTACAACATAGCGTTTGATTTCAGTGTGTAGGGACTCAAAACGGTCTGTTATGGCTTCGAAGTATAATTTGGAAGAATCTGTAAAGTGGCGAATTATCGGCAGTTTAGAAGCAGGGCAGTCAATCATGGAAACAGCCACATGTCTGAATATTTCAAGACAGACAGTCTCTAAGCTATGGAAACAGTTTCAAAATGATGGAAGTGTTGTAAGGAGTCCTGGACAAGGTCGGAAACGAATGACAACTGCTTCTGAACATCGGTATCTGGAATTAACTGCTCGTCGTAACAGAAAGGCTACTGTTCGCCAGTTAATTTCAGAGCTTGCAGCCGCCACTGGAACTGTTGCATCACGGCAAACAATATACAGAAGGCTTAATGAAAAAGGCCTTTATGCCAGAAAGCCAAGGGTATGTGTTTTACTGTCTTCACAGAAAAAGAGGGATCGCTTTAATTGGTGTAAAGAACATCAAAACTGAACTGAACATCAATAGTCTCATGTTTTCTTTACTGATGAGTCGCGGTTTAGTTTAACTGGTGATTCTAAACGTGTTTACATCTGGAAGGAGTCAGGAACACGAAATGATCCCTCGAACATTGTGGAACGTGACCGTTTCGATAGTGGAGGTATGATGGTATGGGGAGGAATAATGATCGATGGACGTACGCCCCTACACGTGTTCAGCAGCGGATCTGTGACAGGCCAGATATATCGAGATGAGGTCTTAGATCCTTATGTAAGACTTTTCAGGGATGCATATGGACCTGACTTTTTATTTATGGATGATAATGCCCGTCCACATCGAGCAAACCTCGTTGATGAATTCCTTGAAAGTGAAGACATTAAGCGAATACCTTGGCCACCAAACTCTCCTGACCTTAACCCGATAGAGAACTTATGAGACTACCTTGGAAGAGCAATTGCACGCATACATCCTCCTCCTAGAGATGTAAATGCTCTGAAGACGGCATTGCTGGAAGAGTGGAGATTAATTCCCCAAACTGTGGTTAACAACGTTATTTCCAGCCTTAAAACACGTTGTGATATGTGTGTACAAGTCAGGGGAGATCATATTCCATATTAAATTCGTAAGACTTGATTCTTTTTCTGAATCATTCCTTTTTTTCTTAACTCTCTTTGTCACACTTTATTACCATTTTTATTGTTTCATGCTACAATTTTATATCATATGAGGTGATCTTCAATTTTTTCTTTTGCATTTATGTGTCATCATGTTATGTATGATTCCACGAAAATTCATTAAATTATAAGTCATAGTCTCTGAGAAATCCGTGAATTTATGCATGTAAACATAATTTTGGACATGAGTGTAGAATTTCCGATGCTGGAGCTCCCAAAGGATCTAGAAAACGAAAGCATGATTCGATGTCCATCAAACAAAAAAGTGGAATTGCGAAAAAGTGGATAATATTCAGATCTTTCAATAAAATTTATATCAATCAAATTTACTAGCTCCATTTGATTCTTCTGTGGCATTGCTCAAACTTATTCAGATCTTTGAGGAGTATTGCAAATGTCCTTTGTTTATCTAACCGTTCCGAAATCTGTTTATCAATTTCACGCTGCTCTGCGCGGGGAGGGGACGTCGCGGCGCGCAATGAACTGGAAGTTGACCTGTCACCACTATCGTTATCTTCAGGGCAGATGTTTTTATTTTATTCGGCTTATAATTCCTTACTAAATGTAGTATTTAATCTCGATGAACTCCGTCTTTGATATGATTTAAATCAAATTCCTCGTCATTATAAATATCACGAATACAAATCAAATAGTTTTCTGGTCACAATTTTCTAATTTCGTCTATTCGTAAGGTACGCATGCGCGCGTCGAAAGAAATGTTTAATAAAGTAAACAAATAAATATTAAGCTTCTTTTTTTGTAAATTTTGATACCCTTTAGATCATAATTGCTCATTATTTTATAAATTACGGTTTCATATTTTTAATTTTATAATTTCTGCATGCCATCTTACGAGATTTAAACTGATGATCTATAATCCGGAAAAATCGATAATCCGGAATCGCCGAAGTCCCGACGAGTCCGGATTAAAGACTTTTGACTGTAATAATGCATTTTATAGAACTTTGATATTTTTGTAATTCAAAATGTACAAAAAGCATTTATTAAAACTCACAAATTTTTCACTTTACCCTTTTTATTTTTTACCAAATTTTTCTATTCTTTAAATCACTGAAAACAACTACTAACTTGGATAGTATACATTTGTTAGATGAATATATAGCATCATTTTATTAAATACATAAGTTTATTTGGAAAATAAAATGAAAATTTTTTATGAACATCAATGCTGATTCCACAGAATAAAATATTTTTGCCATAAACTCAGTACTTATATACACATTTAAAAAGACTGTAGAAAAATTATAGGCAGAAAGCATAAAACAAATAGTAAACATATAATCTTAAATGGAGTACTGCATTAAAGCCTACTCACACCAACCCGTTTCTTGAAACGATTAAAGTGGTTACTCTAATTTAGATGCAAAATTAAATTTTGTATAAAGTCCTTCTTGTACCTCAATAAAAGATATGAATAAGCTGGATCTAACAAGACAGATCAAACTGCAACCAGCTTTTTATAAGCATAAACCATGAAAGTTATGTTCAAAGACGTAAGTCATTAAGCTCAGTTTGCTTAACTGTAATCCTGTACAATGTCTGTTTATGCCCAGGTATTTACACTATTTTTTTTCTAGGCTCAGCACCAGATCAAAATACTTTAATATTTTTATCAAGTAAGACTCAGATGTTAGATGCATGTTTACAACTTGCTTTCAATAGGGTCTTAATAAATGATGGGGAAAAGGAACTGAGTTTAAAACTCCAAATCTCCAAGTTGATAGATCAATGTATTTAACAATTTAAAACAAATAGTACCTACAATGAGGGTTATTCCTACCACACTTCACTGTCATTTTCATACATTTCTTCTATCATTATAAAATACATAAACAGATTAACTTCACACCACAAAAGCACTAGCCATTTTGCCACCTGGGAAATCTCCTGCAGGTTCTAAATTTTGCTGCCCAGTGCCTGCTTAAACTCTAAAAATTTTGACCTCCCAAAATTTTGTTGCTCAATTCTTCTTTGAATTCTAAAAATTTTGTCACCTCTAAATTTTGCTGCCTGATGTGGCTGCATATGTTGTGTGGAGGTGCACTAATTTATTGATCATGTATATCATGAAAATTGAATATAATTGTAATGAATGCCAATGTCAGTGTAAACAAATTTTTACGATATACTAGTCCTTCTAAAGTCATCTCTTCATTTTTATAGGGATATTATGAAATCATTAGCATATTTTTGTATGGATGTTAAATATGGGAAGATGCAAAAGCACAAGAAATAATACGGCACATTTAAAGAAAATTCTTAAAGTTTTATAAATTAATTAGATCACAATTAAAAGCAAAATGTTGGAATCTGGGAATGATTTTTGATGTACACACTGTACAACATCTTAATCACGCATATTTACAACTTAATTTATGTGATGATGGTCTAATGATGTAAAAATGATTTATTTACAATTGGCATTAGGAGTCTTGTTTCCCAATATGTCTGGGTGACAGAATTGAAACTTTTAAATGCAGAGCATGTGTTTACATGTTCATTGTTCAAAAATTATTCTGAGTCAAAAAGGGAACAAACACACTGGAGAATCTGTGCCTAATGTATGAGACGTGCGTTGAGGCAATCGTGTTCTATCAAGACGAAATGATGCCACATCTGTAACACAAGGAAAATCCTCGCTTCAGACACCGCCAACCTTTTCCTGAGCTTTTAAGCACAAAATTTGATTCATGAATTTAAAAATAATAACTGCAATAAAATTTTCACATTTTTTCCCATGATTATTAATACACATCAAGTCTTTTACATGATTTAAAAATAATAACTGCAATAAAATTTTCACATTTTTTCCCATGATTATTAATACACATCAAGTCTTTTACATGATTAATTGAAAGACACACGACACAGGCGACTGGACGACCGATATCGTGTTTTACCGTGGCCAGAAGACTGCACGGTGGTGGTCTGTTTGCATGACGCCCTGTACGGTGTGTACCTCTAACGCCTGCCCATCGGAGAAGGCGTTCTCTGTGGTGCCGGGAACACCGGAATTGGAGAGACTATGAATGGGGACGAGTACTCTTTACAGATGAGAGCAGATTCAGTCTGAGTAGCGATTCTCATCGCATACTCATCTGG